CGCAGCAAAGTAGGGTGTAGGAGTGTGGGAGGGAGGTAGGATTGGTAGGTGCCATGTTGACACTTTGCCGAGTACCAAATGACATTTATTGAAATTTCATCATTAAAAGCTGGCACCAGGGACAGACAGGAGTCGAGCGGATGGGGGAGGCCAAACTGTTTGGCTGCTCATCGAAACTTATTTAAATTCGAACTGTAACACGTGCAGCACCACGCCCAAGCTAGATTGTCATATCAGCCATCAGCCAGAGATGGTTATCGGGTGGAGGCGCAACCCTTCAATGGGGAAAAATCGCTCCTTTTTGTTTTGGGCATCGCCACACAACAATTCAGTGAACAGAAAAATATCCCCAAGGAGCATAGATCCAAGCGAGCATTTGTTCAACCATTTTTGCATAATTTCCATGGAAAAAGTTTCTCAAGTTATGCGTAAGGTGACTGAAAACATCATCATCAACCCCATCAGACACGACACGACACGACACGACACACCATCCGCCTCCACACCCATTGCCGGAATGATATGTGAGTTTATAATTTGAATGTAATATGCTTTAGGGGCAAATTGGATGGGCTATGGGGTTGGATGGAAACTTTTTGGCTTGAATCGATATATAATGCGAAAATAATATATTTCCATGTGGGAGAGTCGCTGGCAAAGTTCCATAAAGGCATGCCAATGAAATGAAGCGTAATCAAGAAGGACAGCGATTTATGGGAGGGATTTAACTTATCAATTTATAATAGCACATCGGACTGCAGAGTGCTTTAAGCAGTCGGAACATTGTTCACAAATTGTGTACAAAAAAGGCCAATAAACACACAATTTCATGGAGGGCTTTAACCCATTCAAAATATAATAGCATATGGTATTTGACCATATGTAGTTGTCCAACACTGCATGGAGGCATTAGCGAGCACTGAGAAAAAAACCAAACAAAAGCAAATCGAAAGATTACCAAAACACCATAGACACACATTAGCACGTAAGTTGAGCGCTCGTTTTAAGGCACTGGCATGTGGGGTACATAATTGTCTAACCCCCAGGACAAAATGTTCCAAGAGGAGGACAGCTCCTGCGACGAATCAGAAAACATGCAGATGAATGGTCAACAAAACGAGGCCGAACCACCCGTGCAATGTGTGGTAATGCTAAAGAGTTTTCTCACCTCCAATGCGACCATAACACTCAGCGAGTTTCACATGAACGGCATACGCGATGGCTACAAGTACGTGCCCAAAGCTGCGGATGTCGAGCCGCCGTATTGTGTGAAGCATTATATACCTGAAATGCACACGAATCTGTTCGTCGTAAGTGACGCACAACTCTTTTCCCAACATAGCGATCAGTTCAAGCAAGAGATTGACACGGAGGAGTCGTACAGTTGTGGCCTTAAGATGTGCAGCGCTGAGGAACCTTTGATGGGATTCGAGGATCCCTTGGATGTGTTATATGACGTGGACTAATGCAAAGTAGAAGCAATAAAATGTACCCATCAAAATGTTGAAGAACGTCAATAAAATTGCCCCCTGACTTTGCACCACACCGAAAAAACCCTCCCAAATGACAACCCACAAAGCCACCCCCATTGACATTCCCGTGGAATCTTTTTCACCCACTTCCACTCCTCCTCCTGCTGCTGCTGTTTTTGCCACTTCTTGTGGGGATTTGACCAGCCTGAGGGCGTTCAAAGACTCGTCTCGGTCTCTGTCTCGACTGGGGAGCCCTGGCTGCCTGCTTGCCTGCCTGCCCTGCCATCTAATCAAAAATGCAATGTTTGGCTTGGTTAAGCGGAAATCGGTATATTGCGTTCGTACGCACAGTTTTCGTTTGTTGATATTAACACATTCCCCTCCCACACCCTGTGGCACCCATCAACACCCTTCAAGCTGGCGGAGTTCGGAGGTGGGTTAATGAAACGTCACAGATGATGACGACGTTGGCATAAGATTTCAATGATATGTCAAAACTGAGTGATGCTGGGATGATGGATGGGATGGTCACAATACAGTATCCTTCCTCGGCCAATCCTCTCCTTTGGCTTTGCCCCTTTTTGCGGGCGTTGTTTTGCCCATAACCCACCCACCCATCATACATCACACGCTTCTACGCATAAATTTACGGACAATTTTTGGGCCAACTTGAGCCGCATTTACATGGGATTTTGCTGCGAAAGAGCAGGGTGGCTCGCCTGTCCTTGCTTAGGGGGAGGGCACAAAGGAAGGAATGAAGGGCAGAACGCTGCAAGACAAACAAAACTCAGCATCCGCTTGGTGGCAATTTCCGTTTTGTCACTTAACGCACATCAAATGCAATTTTCTCTAAGCAAATAACATAATCAGAAGAGGGACAGCAGCAGCAGCAGCAGCAGCAGCAGAAGTCGGGGAAGGGGTGGAAAAGCCTCACATTTTGGCACCTGAAACCGCTTCAAAATTTGCTTCTATGTATTTTTATTTGTTGTTGTTGCCGTAACCATATTGAAATTTGATTTGTCGCCGGGCAAAGTGCATCCTGTGTGATGGATATGTGAGCGAAACTTGCCCGAAGTGTCGACAATTGAATTTGTGCCTGCTTCTGCAATTTGCTAAACTTGATGTGGCACCATTAGACGACGCACCACACTAGCGTGCCACATCGGGACCTTCCAGCCTGCCTGCCACCTGCTGCCAGGCGTCTCTCTGCTCACATTCGTTGCGCCATAATTTTTAATGGCATTTTTATATGGAGCGAAAGTGATTTTATTTAGAAGCTGCCAACAGGCATGGCACTGATATGGCCAGACATGAAGATGTCACTTTTAATTTATGGCTGATGGAGTGCCCGAGGGGGAGAGGACTGTAAGTAGTTTTAAAATACTTACAAAAATTACAACTACCAAGGCTGACTGTCCCAGGTTTGCTCCAATCAAATCTCTCTCCCTCTCATCTGTTTTGATATTTCTAGTTGGGTAAAACCGGAAAGGCCACGCGTAATGGGGCCAGGGGAAAAGCAAAAGCTCAAAATCAAAAGTAAACGCCTTTGGTGAGTGAAAAGTGAAACAGAAATGCAAACAAATACGACAGACGACGACGACTCGGTAGCAACTTATATCTGCTGATAAAGAAGGTAGCTGGAAGCGGGAGCAGGAGGCAGCCTTTAATGAAAGATGACAACAACAACATGCACGATAAAAGGTTGTCATTAAAATTGCAGTGGTTGCTGCAGCATGCCTGCTGCTTCATTAGAGCACAGCGACGACTGCTCTTTGGTGAGGCTGCTCGCTGCACACAAAGTAGGTTGCCGTTTTGGGTAAATACAGCGGCGTACGAGTGCTGTGAAAAGTCATTGAATCAAGATGAAAGTGGAATTTCAAATTGATGGAGAAAGGAGAAGGGCAATGCAGCAGCTTCAAAGAATCGAAAGAAAACGTTTGAATTGTTGCCACATCATGGGAAAAACATGGACATGCGCACGCACTGCCAGACGCGCACAAAACGCAAGTACAAACGGGCAGCCAGATGCGCGGAAAAACAAGGCTGGAAAATGCATTTTGTAATGTTACCAGCCGCCACCACAAAAAAATGGTTCAGCACTCACACTTAGCACAATAAATGAATATAATTTCCGTAATAAACTGCATTTAGACTAAAACAAACGCTTCGAGGGCTCCTGCTCTGCCTCGGAGCTGGCATCCACGGGACGTGCCACCTCAATGGTGTTGATCCGTAGCATGGTATTGGGCGAACGCTGAAAGTTGATTCTCATGTACTGTTTCCTGCGCTTCTTCTTGAAGTGTGTCTTCGTGTGGGTGAGGGTCTTCTCGACAACGGTGGCCTTCACCGTCACCAGACCGGGCTCCAGGATGGGGCGTCCAATAAGTGTGAAATCGCGAGCACCGGCCAGCAGCACCTTGTCCAGGCTGATCTCGTCGCCTGTTGTGGGCGGCCAGTAGCCCTCGACGAGGATGATGTCGCCGGCGGTGATCTTGAACTGTTTACCGCACAGATGGACCACGGCAAAGAGGCGGCCCTGCTCCTGTTTGGCAACCTGCTGATTGACTCTCTCGCAGATGCTGAGGCATTCCTTCTGCTGATCCTTGGCGACAGCTGCCACGTCAATCGGTGCGACTGCGGCGGCAGCAGGTTTGTTTTGTTGCCACAAAGCCGGCGCAAGACTCAAGCAACGCATGGCGCCTGGTAGTAGGTGGAGACATTGGGCATGGTTATGTCACATTTTTTGGAGTTATTTATGTTGCTGACTTACCCGTCAGCGTGGATGTTTGTGTCGCGGCTTGGCGTAGCACTTGCCTCATAGTGTGCGAAAGGAACGACATGGTTTTACGTTCCTTTTAACTTAAAAATACATACAATTTCTCAGCGAAATCGGCGAAATCTTCAGAAAATAAGCGCGGAACAGCTGTTGCAACAGTGTGATGAACGCGGAATTATCGATAAGATATACCGTCAGACCCTCAAAAATATACCAAAATATACCATTTCATTTTAGAAATATATAAATAAAAACATATATAGATTATATTCCTCGATGTTGATGTTCTATTTGATATTAATAGCTTCCAAAAACTTGTAACACGGAAACTATAATTTAATCCGATTGAAGAATCAATTTGGCTTATTATAAATACTCCTTTTCACACACGAAAGCGTTTGTACCTGACAGTACAAGCCAAGCCTAATCAATCTATAAATGAAAAACGATTATATTAATTTAGCAAACAAGAAGCTAAGAGAAAATCATGTTTTTAAATATCTTAGTTCGTCCGTTCCTTCCTTTTGCTTTTGTGTGGCAGAGTGTTGTCAAATTGATGCGATGCTACTCATAATGTCGATATTGCAAGCCTTAAAATAGGCATTATTTTCCAAATGTTAAATTGTTTAAATAGAGGGGGGTTTGATGGGCTAAGGGCTTACATTTCCTTAGTATATTTACGGTATATATGGCATATTCCGGTATATTTCTAAGGGTCAAAATATATTTCTGCTTCAAATTTAGCAACTTAGCAACCTTATTTTGACTTTATAAACAATTTTAAAACCGCCTGCACGTTTGGAAACGAGAAAAATAATTTCCCAGTAAGATAATTTTAAATTAAAAACTATGGCTGAAACAGAGAAAATCGAAGTACGCGACATTACGCGCATCGAGCGCATTGGCGCCCATTCGCACATTCGCGGTCTGGGCTTGGACGATGTCCTCGAGGCACGTGCTGTCTCTCAGGGCATGGTGGGGCAGAAGGACGCCCGCCGTGCCGCTGGCGTCGTGGTGCAGATGGTGCGCGAAGGAAAGATTGCCGGTCGCTGTATTCTGCTCGCTGGCGAGCCGAGTACCGGCAAAACTGCCATTGCCGTGGGCATGGCCCAGGCTTTGGGCACAGAGACGCCATTCACCAGCATGTCTGGCTCGGAGATCTACTCGCTGGAGATGAGCAAGACGGAGGCGCTGTCCCAGGCCCTGCGCAAGAGCATCGGTGTGCGCATCAAGGAGGAGACCGAAATCATCGAGGGCGAAGTGGTGGAGATCCAGATCGAACGCCCGGCCACCGGCACCGGGCAGAAGGTGGGCAAGGTGACCCTGAAGACCACCGAGATGGAGACCAACTACGACCTGGGCAACAAGATCATCGAGTGCTTCATGAAGGAGAAGATCCAGGCCGGCGATGTCATCACCATTGACAAGGCATCCGGCAAAGTCAACAAGCTGGGGCGCAGCTTCACACGTGCCCGCGACTACGATGCCACCGGCGCTCAGACACGCTTCGTGCAGTGCCCCGAGGGTGAGCTACAGAAACGCAAGGAAGTAGTCCACACCGTGACGCTGCACGAGATCGATGTGATCAACAGTCGCACCCATGGCTTCCTCGCTCTCTTCTCTGGCGACACTGGCGAGATCAAGCAGGAGGTGCGCGATCAGATCAACAACAAGGTGCTGGAGTGGCGCGAAGAGGGCAAGGCCGAGATCAATCCGGGTGTGCTGTTCATCGACGAAGTCCACATGCTGGACATTGAATGCTTCTCGTACTTGAATCGTGCTCTGGAGTCGGACATGGCTCCGGTGGTGGTGATGGCCACCAATCGCGGCATTACACGCATTCGCGGCACCAACTACCGCAGTCCCCATGGCATACCCATCGATCTGCTCGATCGCATGATCATCATTCGCACCGTTCCCTACTCGGAGAAGGAGGTCAAGGAGATTCTGAAGATTCGCTGCGAGGAGGAGGACTGCATCATGCACCCAGATGCGCTGACCATCCTCACACGCATCGCCACCGACACCAGTCTGCGCTATGCCATCCAATTGATAACCACCGCCAATTTGGTGTGTCGCCGTCGCAAGGCCACCGAAGTCAACACCGAGGATGTCAAGAAGGTCTACTCGCTGTTCCTCGACGAGAATCGTTCCAGCAAGATCCTGAAGGAGTACCAGGATGACTACATGTTTAGCGAGATTACCGAAAAGGAGGAGGAATTCGCCTCAGTCGGAGGAGGCTCAAAACGTCGCTCGGAGGCTGGCGGCGGAGGCGGCGATGCCCAGGCCATGGAGCATTAGTTTTTAGTCCTTCCTTCCCAGCATACTTACACACCCCCAGTACATTCTAATTTCTATTTGCTTGTTCAATAAACAAGTCTTTTACTTGTATCTAAAAATAATTTTATTTTGCATTTTTATTTCGTGTTTTTTGTTTCTCTTGCTATCAATGAAGGACTAACTCTCTCTGGGCAGGACATTCTGTGAGCATGTGAAAAAATATATCGTATAAAATTGTCTTTGTAGCTTAGATTTAAGTGTCGTCGGGGTCGGGTTTGGGGTGTGAAAAAGCAAGAAAAACATAAAAAGAAATTTAAGTTACGATTCCTCCGCGATTTATCATACAAGTGGGCCTTAGTGGGTCTTAGCTAGATGTTGAGCTGTGTAAAGGGCGAGCGGGCGGTGTTATTAAAATATAATACACAATTCTATATCATATTTAAGACTTGGTTTTTGCTTGCCAATGCGCTAAGGGCAGCACAAGACAGCTGAAAGTACAGAGAAAATCAAGGCTCCATTTTCACATCTCGCCATGTACTTTTTATGTTGTATTGGGGGGGATAGTAACTCCTCCGCTTTGACTAGTCAATCGATATTTGCGAGTGTGTGTCTGAGTGTTTAACAAATCTCTCCGGTTACAGTGTGGCATAATTATTTTGGTAGAGAATTACATTGATTTGAAGCTCGTCCTCCTTTTTACTGCGTCTTGCTCTTGGCGCCAGTGACGTCTTCGTTGCTCCTGGAGCTCTTGCGCGTAAAGTGGCGATAGCTTTGATAGAAGGCCATCCAGATCAGCAAGTAAATGAAGCCATAATAGTTGACGGCACCAAAGACAACGATCCAACGCTCGTACTTGAGGAACACAAAGGCCGCCAGGCACCAGCCCATGAAGACAATGTTGTAGGATTTAAGAGCCACAAAATAGAGCACTTTGTACATGTCCGAGTTGTTCAGGAAGTGTCCATATTGAGGCAGCACAACCTTGTCGTAGAAGTTAGTGATCTGAAAGCAGGAAAACTTTAATTTGTGGGCCAGTTTTTGAGGGAGTTTCCACTCACCTGTTTCTCTGTGGTGACAACAATGTACTCCATGACGAATGCCATGTAGTAGCCACTGTGATAGCCATGCCAGATGGCCAGGAAACCCAAAGCTGCCCCGTAGCTGATTGTGCGATTGTTGAGGAACCTCAAACGCTTGTAAATGTACTGCCCCACCCATTGGTTGGTGTTCACATTGAAGCTCTGCACGTAGTGCTCCATGGTGTTGCCCGTTTCAAGGAGGATCAGCTTGACGTTGCTGCAGCCCGACCAATCCGGCTGGCCATGCTCATCCTTGCCCTTGTACGAGAAGCCAATGTAGATGAGAGCGCCCTCGGTGAGCAGCCAGCAGGAGATGTACTTGTACAGGCAAAACTTGGCCCAAAAGCCGAGCAGATAGATCCGCTTGATGAAGCCCACCTGGGCAAACTCTGGGGTAAGGAAGTACGAGTCGGGCAGGAAGCTGAGTCCCACCTGGCAAACGATTAGATAGAAGACGCCGGTGGCCAGGCGACGCATGCCCGCCTCCACATTGCCCTCGTGCTGGCGGTAATCCCCGTTGATAAACTTCTGGTAGCGACGGAGGGGAAACTGTGGTCCTATGAGGAAGCCGCTGGGGAAGTACGCGAATGCCAGGAGCTCCAGCAGCGAAGGCACCTGCGGCAGAGCCGTTTCCTTCTGCTCATTGGACAGCGCCTCCGGGGCCTTGAGGCCGTCGGAGACGTCAAAGCCGAAGCCGATCATGCGCAGCACCAAAATGCAGTGGGGCATCGTCCAGAGGATGTCGTACTCGTTGCTGGACGTGAAGAAGTAGCCCAGCAGCAGGTAGGTCATGTGGAACACAAAGTTCAGGCCAATCATTAGCTTGATGTTGTGCCGCAGGAACAGCACCAGCAGATATGTGACGAGGATGCCCAGCAGCGAGTGATATGTGTCCGCGCCGTAGTTGAAGTAGCAGAGACCAGCTCCACAGCTGAAGAAGAATATGTGATGCAGCGTCTTGAAGGGCACCTCTGCAATATATTTGGTGTACACTGCAGCGATGGGATAGCCTAGAAGCGGGGGGAGAGGAGAGGACATTATTCTACTTTTTTGTCCATAAAGCACTTGGAGTACTCACCAGCCATAAGTGTCAGCAGCAGACGCAGTGCCTCTGGGGTAACGCCCCCCACATTGGCAATGGCGCCCATTAGGCCCGCATCGGACGGTTCCTCCTCTATATATTTCGTCATTTTTGGCTGACTGAAATCTGGCCAAAGAGACAGCAAACGCAAAGGCAAAGGGTTCTTATCAGTGATAGTTATGGCTGTGGCTCGCGTGGTTTAGTGGTTCAATGTGCCCCCCCCAGGCTTATCACATTTAATTGTTATTGTTGTATATTACGCAAACTGATTGTTTCCTGATCGCCGAGAGCAGAGCACAGCGAAGAGCGCAGAGAGAAACGAAGCAGTGCAACAATGATACAATCGAGCGCACTTGGTCAGGGTCAGTGGAAGTTACGATATCTGAGCCACAACCTGCTGGGCACCACAGTGACGCACTTGTGGTCACGACGAACACTTTAATATTTGATAACTTATTGATTTGATTGCTGGTTAGGGAATACTAACAAATAGCGCGTCGCCCAAACCAACAAGTTTTTTGTTACCTAAAACAACGACTGGAAGCCAATTCTGAGCGTGCCTGTGAATGGCAAATTCAAAAAAGTAAACAAGAAATCTGTGAAACTTTTACACCCTCTCTATGTGGCACACCTTGCATAGCTCTGGTATCTTTCAGTATTTCTAGTATATTTTATGACTCACCCTGTTGCGCTTATTCACCAATGTAGAAAGTGTGTAATTATACAGGGTAAAACCAATTTTGTGTACATTTTATTGAAATGGTGTTGTTTAAGCCATATTTCATAAACAATATAATACGAATGAGTACTTAAAACTAGCCAATCATCTACAAAATTGACTCGTTTATCCAATAAAAGTACACGAGTACTGCCGAGGGTGCAAACTGGCTCCAAATTCCAAAACGAATATAAACTTTGAGGAATATAATTTCGCATCAGGTAAACTGCCTTACATTTAGTTCGTTGTTTATTGCACCAGCGCAGGGCGACAGACAGCAACTAAGCCAAATTAAATGTATTTTGTTTAGAGTTATAGCAAGCCAAATTGAGTGTCAAAGTTCAACGAAAAGTCATCTCCACTGGCAGCCGAACAGCCGAAGAAACTAAAAAGCGTCAGAACCAAGTTCGCCTCTGGGTACGTACGTGTCACTTAATTGGAACAGCTTGTAATTTCACTTTCTTTCCGCCCCCTTAGGCCGCGAAGAGTGATTCAATTAATGCAAAACTGGCACACACCGGGAGCAACATGCGCCGCACCAATAACTATCCCTACCAGCCGCTGAACCAGCAGCCACCTGGCCCAGGTCCGGCCAGCCATGATGCGCTGGAGGCGGAGAACGAGCGTGCCGCCGAGGAGCTGAAACAGAAAATTGGCGCCCTCAAGTCGCTGACCATTGATATTGGCAACGAGGTGCGCTACCAGGACAAGCTACTGCGCGGCATAGACGACGACATGGATCGCACATCGGGGTTCCTGGGCAACACAATGACGCGCGTCGTCCGGCTGGCCAAACAGGGTGGCGGGGCCAGACAGATGTGCTACATGTTCCTCTTTGTGCTCGTGGTGTTTCTGTTGCTCTGGCTGACGCTAAAGTTCAAATAACAAAGCTCGGCCGCTGCTATTTTCTAAAATATATACTTTCAATCTTAATTAATTAGTTGGAGCAACAAAGCTTTGTTCAAAGTACAAAAGATACGCACACACGGGTGCACACACACACACATTAAGGTAGAATTTGAGGATTTTGTGGTGACGGAGGGACACGCTTTCTTGGACTCGCTGCCCATATGCGATGATGATTCACATAATTTTGTGGGCCTATAGCTAAAATATGTTAATTTATATAATTGGCGGCTATGCGTGGAAGGTTTTCATCTTTTTATTGCGTCTACTGGAATCGGGAAGTTCCAGATCCTCGTCCTCCACATCGTCACTGCACACATCATCCTCGCTCTGCAGATCGGCATAGCCATCGCCGTTCATGGCACCTTCCATGGCACGAACTGTGGGAAGGCAAGTCGAGTTAGTGGGTTGCTCCTCCGCATCCAGCTACCACTTACTCTGCTGATCCAGTTGGATGTTCTGTTTCTTGATCTCATCAATGTCTTTTTGATTGTCGTTGATTTTCTTCCTCATTGTCTGTATGCATTCCGTGGTCCTCTTGAGTATTTGAGCACGACTAGCCTGTGAAAGAGTCTGATCCAATTACTGTGTCCGAGGGAAACACCTAACTGTTGCGCTTACCTTTTCACCCTTTAGCGTGGGCACAGCCTCTCGCAGATTGGTGAAGCTCTCCTTGATGTGATCTCTTCTCCGTCTCTCCAGTGCGTTATGGTGTGCTCTCTTCTCGGCCTTGAATTATTTATTTAGGAATTAGTCAGCATGGTCAGTGAGGGAGGTGTGGGGTTACAACTACATGTGCGTGTTGTTTATCAACAAAAGACAACGTGCGCAGGTGCAGGGTATATTAAATGCAAGGTTTGGCAGTCGAATGTATTGACTCCCGCTCTCGCTAACCGTGCTTCAATCACACTAAAAACACCTGAGAGTTGGTGTCTGAGAGAGAGCGATGGCTACCTTCTCGTTAATTTACCCTCCGCATTGCGTTTTTCTTCTTCTTGCGTTTGCTCTCTTTATAGCTGTTACCTGTGTAAAATTTGCTGTATTCGTGTGACGAGACGAGCCCAACCCCGTATCCGAGTCGCCATCGTCCTGGAAGATATGAATTAATGTTGTACAACTTTGTATGCATATATACATTAGGTATACATATACATCTGTTTATATGTACTTTAATGTATTTTACAATTGCTTACGTCACTCTCAATATCGATATCTCTGTCATCATCGCTCATACTCATGGCTGGTACAGTTATTGTGTCGTCTAGCCAGCACAAGGGCGCACTTGATTGATTCTATTCGAGAGGGGCCCGAAGATTGGTAGTAATGCTGCAACTTCTTGTTGTTGTTGTTAACTGTAATTGTCAGATATTTTTGTTGTTGCTTCCAGCGCACGTTCTACAAAACGAATGCGGTCGCTGTGAATGGCAGGGCTGGAGAACTACCGAAAGTGAAGTGGATTCTACAGGTCCCTAGAGAATGATCTTCTAAGACCTTAATTATACTAAAGCTGCTTGAAAAATCATGCCTAAGCGACGCAAATAATTAATTATTAAACATAATTTAAGTTTTACGGTACATTTACAGTATGTTTTGGAAATGCAAGGGTATATTTGGGTATATTTCCGAGGGTCTGTCGGTATATTGTATCGATAATTCCGCGGTCACAGCCATTAATTTTTATTTCTTTTCCATTTTCCAAGACAATTTTTACTTATTTCATGGCTTTTCCAACAACAAGTGCACAGCAAGCCGAAACGAACCGAAAGATACTTGAGGACATCCAGACCAAAAAGCAGCTGCTTGCTGGCGGGATAATTAACCTGGGACTGAGCAACGCAAATCAGGTGCGCACGAGGATTTCTGCAAAGGAGGCCTTAAGTATTTTTGTTTTACTCTCGAACATTGTCATTATAGATGCCCTCTCCGCAGTTGCTCGGCCAGCCGACAGTAGCACCTGAATTCCTACCGCAGGGCGTGGGCTTACCCACAAATGCCACGCCGCCCCGTTCCGCATTTAACCCTACCAGTTCCACCACTTTGGGCTTCTTTATCCCCCAAGAATCGTATTTTGGAAACAGCTTCATTCCCGTGCTGCCTCGCCTGGAGCCCTTGCCCACAACCACGACCACTCCCACGACGCCCGTCAGCCACATTGCACCCAAATAACCGAAACTCATACACTAAACCATGGCCCGCCTCAAGCTGAAGAAACTGGAGGAGTATCTCCAGTGTGTCGATGGATTCGAGAAGCCGAAGATCATGCTGGAGCAGTATCCAACTCCACCGCATATAGCCGCCTGTATGGTGCATCACATACAGGCCCAGCATGACGACATTGAGGGGAAATTCGTCGGAGACCTTGGCTGCGGTTGTGGCATGCTGAGCATAGGCGCCACTCTGCTCGGTGCGCAGCTGACAGTTGGCTTTGAGCTGGACGGAGATGCTGTGGACATCTACAGGAACAATGTGCAGGAAATGGAGCTGCCAAATGTGGACTGCGTGAGGACGGATGTCCTGCAGCTGCCGGGCAGCAAGTGGGAGAAAACATTCGACACAATCGTCATGAATCCGCCCTTCGGGACAAAGCACAATGCCGGCATGGATATGCGCTTTCTAGAGGCAGCTCTACGATTGGCCACAGGAGCGGTCTACTCATTGCATAAGACTTCCACACGGTAAGTGGTTGCCATTAGCAGTCCTATCGGCTTTAGTGATTTGTCTTTCTTCTCCTTTGGCAGTGCCTACATCCAGAAAAAGTCTCTGGAGTGGGGTGCCAGCGGCTCTGTGGTGGCCGAGCTGAGGTACAACATCGAGGCCAGCTACAAGTTTCACAAGCGCCAGTCCAAGGACATCGAGGTGGACTTCTGGCGGTTTGACATCAGCGGCAAGGATTAGCCTGCGCCGCGCCGCGTATGCATTTTCTTTGGACATTACATTTATAATTTACAAACATTTATAGCATTATAGGATGGAAAGCATTTAAATAGAAACTCTTCACTCTTTTACTCCACGTTGAAGACGACGCCCTGGGCGCAGGCCAGCTCACCGGAATGGTTGACGGTAATGGTGGCACGCTTGCAGTACTGCTTCCAGGCATCCGAGCCCGATTCGCGACCGCCGCCGGTGGCCTTCTCTCCGCCGAATGCACCGCCGATTTCAGCGCCATTTGTGGTGGTGTTGATGTTCACGATGCCGCAGTCGGAACCACGAGCGCCGATCCACTTGAACGCCTGACTGATGTCCTCGGTGAAGATGGCCGAGGAGAGACCCTGCTCCACTTCGTTGTTCCAGGCGATGGCCTCATCGACATTCTTCGCCTTCAAGACATACACGATGGGCGCAAACGTTTCGCGATGCACAACGCTGGCATCGTGCGCCAGTCCCGTGATGACGGTGGGCTCCACATAGTAGCCAGAACGCTCCAGCACTTTGCCGCCAAACGCCACAGTTCCGCCCAATGCCTTGGCCTCCTCAATCGTCGTCCTGTAGTTGTCCACATTCTGCTGCGTATGCACGGGGCCCACCAACGTCTGCGCATCCAATTGGTGTCCAATCCTGGGTATCAGCTGCTTGTACTTGGCCACCAAGGACGTCACGAACTGGTCATGCAGCTGCTCGTGCACGATGATGCGCCTGGTGGTGGTGCAGCGTTGTCCGCTGGTGCCAATGCAGCCAAAGAGTGCCGCATCCAGCGCCATTTTCACATTGGCAGACGAATCAATGATCAAAGCATTGTTGCCGCCCAGCTCGAGGATCACTTTGCCAAAGCGTCGCTGCACCTCCACGCCCACATCTTGGCCCGTCTTGCAGCTGCCCGTAAAGGACACGAGATTGACGCGCTTGTCCCCGACCAGAGACTGGCCGACATCCGTGCCGCCCTGGCAGAGCGTCACGACGGGTGGCAGATTGTTGCGACGCAGGACCTCGGCTACGATTTTGGTGGTGGCCACCGAGACCAGCGGCGTGCTGGGAGCGCCCTTCCACAGCACACTGTTGCCGGTGGTCAGAGCAATGGCCGCATTCCAGCCAAAGACGGCATTGGGGAAGTTGTAGGCGGAGATCACACCGACCAGTCCGAGGGGACGCCAAGCCTCCAGAATCGTATGATCTGCCCGCTCGGAATTAATCAGTTGGCCCGAGTAGATGCGCGACAGACCCACGGCATAGTCGCAGATGTCGATAAACTCCTGCACCTCGCCCTGACCCTCGCTGTAGATCTTGCCCACCTCCAGGGAGACCAGCTTCCCGAGGGGCTCCTTGTACTTCCGCAGCTCGTCGCCGATTTGACGCACGATCTCGCCACGTACTGGGGCGGGCACTTGACGCCACTGCTTGTAGGCCTCCACGCCCAGACCGATGGTCTGCTGCAGCTCCTGGACATTGCCTTGACGCACTTTGGCTATGGCTTGGCCGGTGCCGGGATCGTAGCTGGTGATGGTCGGACCACGGCCTTGCCAATGGCCTGAATAGACGCCGGGATTGTTGCGCTCCAGGCCGAGCTCCTTGAGGAAACTGTACTCTGGCTGATCGATCAGATAGGATGTGGATGCGGAGGAGGCCAGGCGGTTGTGTCCGCGACCGGCCAGCCTCGTTAGGTGTCTCAAATGTGCGATCATGCTGGAGGCGAGAGAGAGCGAGATTTATGGATTACTGATTACGCCCTGATACGCCGCTTATCGAGCTCCGCCTGGTTATTGCTTGTTTACTGGAAACTTTTTCGTGGTCTGACACCCCCCGCAGAGCGGCTACCAACCACTGATAGCATCCCACTTTAAACTACTCACATTGTGTGCGCCCCAAAGTGTCTTTTGTATCCTCGTCTGTCCACGTCGCTGGTCAATTATCAACTGAATGCGCCGAGTGCTTAACGGGCACCTCTCTCTCTGCCGCCCGGTCATTGAAGAGGCCAGCTTATCGCTAGAATAAACTGAATTAAATGCAAAGAGAGGGGATCACGGCAAAGAGCCGGCGGTCTTATCAGGCTATATAAATATGTGTGCAAATGTGTGCTTATGTATTTATAGGATGCATACAAAATTGTATAAAATACTTTTAGGCGGCAAGCAAGTGGCTTTATTACTTAGAATTTAAATATAATTTTATAAAGATTTAATCAAGGATGTATTTTAAATATTAAAAGTGAAATTTATCAAGCTAATAATCAAGTTAAATTTTTATAAATTAGTAGAGCACTTACAGAACAAAAAATACTTGAATTTGTGGTACTTTATACTTAAGTTTCAAAATGTAAAATACATTTCCACCGAGAGTGAAATTGTAAAAATTAAGTCTTTCCCACTTACATGATAACATTATAATACGATTACTTATATATTACTTATATTTACTAATATAAGAAATATAATTCACATTTGAATTAATTTATAAAGTTAAAAATTAAATGGATTTTTTTTAATTTAAAAGGTTTTGTATTCTGATACTTTTATATTTAAATACAAAAAATTGTTTCTAAAATAATATCAATATACATTTAAAACAAAATATTTACTTGAAAAATGTTTTATAATTTATTTTTAACGTGTTAACAGTGCTACACGATTTATATTTATTTAAGTCCTTCCATTTTTATTGCTGTCTTGGTTCTGTTACCCTGACAACCCATGAACTTAGTCAAATGTTTGTTCGTTAGCTAAAAGTTCACCCACTTTTGGCTGCATGTAAAATTGTTAATTCACATTAAAACTAAAGAAATATTTAAGCAAGCAACATGGAAGTACTGGAAGAGGGTAATTTAATGGATCGAGTGCCCATACTTCTGCAACGAGATCTAGAGTTTTATCAGGTAGGACCCATTGGCAGTAATTTTATAACTTAATTCTAAAAACTTTACTCTTCACAGACACATCAGCGTGTGCTGCAGGAGCCCGTTTGTTCGGGTGTTGTGGGTGGCAAATTGGATTTTCCACGGTATGCATCCTTTGCAGCAATCAAATTGATACGTTGGTAGGTATATTTGGAGTAGCAAATATCTCTGAGATTTACTTAAAGAAACTCTTTAAAGGTGGGAGGATGAGTACTTTGCTTCGTATCGAAAACACTCGGGACTTTTGCATACCGAAAAGGAACTGAATGAAGGAGATTTTGTAAGATTCGATTGCTGATCAATTTATAGCTTCATTCTCTATGATTTCCTCCTCAGACTAGTGCCACTGTCAAGGCCTCTGATCCGGATAAGTTCGTTCAGCTCGTATGCCGTTCAGCTGACATGCTTCTGGAGCATGTCCATCGCCTGTCGCAGGAGTCCTTGGATCATGCTGATCTCTCTGTGCTGACGGCCACCATTGGCGCTGCTTCGCTGGTGAAGAACTCGCTGAGTGTCTACATGCAGGCGGCCACCACGACGATTGTGCCGCCCAAGGGCGATGAGAAGGGCGGCGCCCTCAAGCTGAGCTTCAAGCAATATGCCCAAATGTCGGAGGCTTTGGCAGAGCGTCTTCTCGATCTGCACTGTCGCCTGCTGCTGCTGTACATCATGCAGGATGCCGACTGTCTGCACTGGGAGGACACCCAACCGTTCTTTGAGTCCGAGCGGGGCTCGTACACCGTGCAGATGTGGTGGCACTATATGCGTGGCTCCAAGACGGATCTATGGAACTCGGTGCCGCCAAAAATGGCCCAGAAGATTTTCGCGGGTATGCTGAACGAGACGCTCAGTGTGCTGACTGTTCGCTACACACAAATCGTGACGAGTGTCGCTCGATCGCAGCTTCACCTGACGGACATTTGCAACATGCTGCTCTGCATTGCCGAGCTGCTGCCGCACATCTGCGAGAGCGGCGAGGCATATGTGGGTCTGCAGTTGAGCAACCAAAGCGTCATCCTGCGGGACATACATGCCAAGTGCCGGGAACTCTTTTACTGTCTGCTGCTGCGTGGTGCACCCCTGGGTGTGCTCTCCAAGGTACGAACTAGATCCTTATGAGAAGAGACTCTAAAGCGACTCTGTTTTCCCCAGGTTTTCCGTAAGGGTCTCGACAACATGGAAATGTTTAGCTCTCGCCATGGCCTGCCCAGTGCCTGGATTATATTTGCCTTGCCCCGCTACTTTCCCAAGGAACAATCCTGCCAATGGGTCACTGAATTTGCTGATCTCACCACCAACACTGCAATTTCGTTGGATCTGCGGGTTCTACTGGCATTTCCAGAGGCCGATTGGTCGTTTCTGTTGAAGATTCTGCTGATGCGAGACGCCTTCCTCACTGGCATCATCATAAGACATTTGATGCAGCATTTACCCTCATCGGAGAACTTCAAGAATGTGGCCAAACATTCGTTCACCAGTGCCGAGGGCGCGCCACCAAAGTGTGAGGCGTTTCTATGCCGCGGCGAGTGCTTCAATGTCACCGAGTCCATAGCTGGGGATATAGGTGAGGCATTGAAACAGAGTTAAACGATTGCTAGAACACGAAATTTCAGACCCTGTGGGACAGGCCAACTATCAGATTGTCCTCTCGCTCACCTACTTGGTCGTGGCCGTAGGCAAGGCGGTGGACATCAAGTCCTGCCTCATCAAGACCCTCGAGGAGCATGCGGTGGCTGGCTGGAGCGATTGCCTGGACAAGCGGCAGGTGTGGAACCAGAAGCGTACTCCCTGGCTGGAGGCCATCATGCATTTCGTTTATCCCGTGCTCGACTGTGTCGTGGAGATGCTCATCAATGCCGTGGAGAATGGCGCGAGCATGTACCAGGCCATGTCCCTGGCTCTGACTTGTGTCTCTGAGATCTGGGATTGCATACCCGAGGGTTTGTACAAGATCACCTCACTGCTGCAGGACATTATACCAGTTTCCACGAGACCCTTGGGCGATTCAGTGCTGCTGCAGGTGGTCTTTGCTGCACTCTACACGGAGCTGATCAAGACAGCCGAGCTGCATGAACAGGGTGAGTGGAGGAGTGACTTTGAGGCACCCAAAAACTAATTTAAAATTCCCTCAGGCAAAAATGTAGACAAAGCTTCCATTTGCTATTCAATATCGGAGGCCATTTGCTCCATTGACGAGGACGACAAGCACACGGACCAAATCGAATTGTTCCTCAAACAGGCCAAGGAGAGCATCAATCTGGACACGGACTTTGGTGGCACGCCCGGAGGCAGCAATCGTGGCGCTGGCGGCATGAGTGCCGTGAGCACCGTCAAAATGGATGACCTAACGAATGCCGAATCGGATCGACTCAGCCATAGTCCCCCAAACAACTATGCCATGGAGCTGGATGTGGGCATTGCCGACTACATAGCCGAGGTGCTGGCTAGCGATGTGCTGACCACAAACATAGGCAAACAGGCCCTCAAGGTGGTCTACAATTATCTGAAATTCAACAGGGATTGGCTGCTGGAGCAACTGGGCACCGGCGACAATGATCCCAGTCCCTTTCAGGGTGTCCAGGGACAGAACATCAAGGAGGGACAAACGTCGGTGCTCAAGTCCATGTTTTACATTGGCAACACTCCGTTTGATCAGCTGCTGACTGGCTCCCTGAAGATCGACTACGTGAGTTGGCTGCAAATGCCGCTGTCCCTGAATCCAGAACGAACCTGGCTGCACTTGACGCGTCGCTGTGACTTCCAGGAGGACTCAAAGCTGGCGCTGCCAGAGGTGGCCATGGTGGCTGGCATTACGAAGATAATGAAGCGGCGCAAGGAGTTTGCCAAGTAGCGTGGAAAGGGCAGTGGAGCCATCATTAGCAGCCCCCTCCTTGCTGGCTGTGAATTATGTTGTTGATGGCAAAAGGCACTGGGGAGAGCCTCTCTCTCTCCGTTTCTGTGTCTTTGGATGTCATTAACGCCGCATAATGCAAACACAAGTCGCATGCTACGGGCAGGAGGGGCACCGGCACCGGCACCGTCACCGTCACCGAATGCACAACACAATAAGCGAGGCGACACGGAGCAGCAGGGCGCTAAAAAAAAATAATATTTACATCTCCTTCAGCATTGCCATCTCTCCCCCATTCCAAAGTTAATGTTTGAGGGGATGCGGGGAGACCTACTGCCGAAAATGTTTTTGTCCACACTCTGCGTACTTTGCACTTGGCACTTGGCAATTGCTCAGCAGCCTCTCCAGGCCGTCTTTAGAGCCGTCTTCCCGGCGTTGCCACCGCCTCCTCAGCGCTGCTCTTGCAGCCAGTTATGAAAATTACTGAAACGTAGCCAACCTGGGGTTAGTGGTGGGGGAGGAGCGAAGCAGAGTACCAGCACACGATGAAAGCACAAACACACCACACACACACACACACACTCTTAGAGAGACGCACACACACTCATAAGCAGGAGAAACACACACAGGACAACGTGACAAATAAAATCAAGCTAGAAAGTAGAGTAGGAGAAAGCGGCAGGATAATGACGACAGGGCCAATGCGCTGCTAGCGAGGATTAGGCGGCAAATACAATACTTAAAATACAAATAATCAGCTTGAGCTTGATGCAAGTAAGAATGAATTAAGGCTTTAAAGTTGTTTAAAATATTTTAAAATAATTTTAAAACCAGTAGCAAAATGAATTTGTCTAGTCTACAAAATCAAATTGAAAGCCTTTTAGCTGTAAGAAAATCCACTTTAACATCAAATATGTAAGACCCCTAGGGTTTATTAAGCCCCTAGAATATTAAATGACAGTTTTAGATATATTACAGATATATTTAAATAATATATAATCCAATCTTTCCTGGGAAGACGTATGAGAAAATGCAACACATTGAAAGTACTTTATCCGTAGGCAAATTGAACTTTAAATCTAAACCCTAAAAACAACGCTGAATAAATGCTTCACCGGAATAAAACTTTCCAAAATTTCTAGTGCTAAAAAGCTTCACAAATCGCCACCCAAAAATCGCACTAAAATGGATTCGCCTCTCTAAAAATCTCTATCAAAAATTCCACGCTCCTCTTCAATTGAATTCACAGCTGAAAGCGTTCCAACAAAAAAAAAAAAACAAAATAAATACAAAATAAAAGCTGAAATAAACACGAAGCGAACAAATCCTTTGTGAACAAATCAACTCGACTCTTTCAGTTGCAGCGCCAGCCCCATTGGCTGACTTTGGCTACAAAGTCGGGGCAGCCCCAGCCGCAGCGGCGACTCCCGGCAAAACGGCAACGACAACGACAACGACAACGACGATTGCCCCATGGTAGCTCCGTTCATTCTGTTGGCACTGCCAGGAGCGTGCGGACGTTCGTTGTTTAGAGGCCCAGACCATAAAGTCAAGTGGCAACCAAAAACTTCAAAAAAATAGAACCCAAAAGAACACAACAAAAAATACAAAACGAAAGAAGAAATTGAAGTGAACTGTGAGACGTGCGGGAGTAAAGTGCGAATGGTAACGGTAATTTGCAGACATTAGTTGCCACACGAACACACACACACACACACACATAGTGATTAAATGCTCTAAAAGAGAACGAGGAAGCTGAAGTGTCACTGGGACTGAACATTACGCATACGCAGCGTATGCCCCAGGTTAAATGTTGAAATTTAAAACCTTAACGAGCTGCCAAAGTGATGCTGCTGCTGTTGGTCGTTTAGAATTCTGCTTTGGAGATACGAGTGGGCAAGGACCTTTTCGTATGCGAGGCACGCAGTTGATTTTGTGTGTGTGATGGCGATACGGCTCTATGATTGTGATATTAGCCTTATTCCGGCTACACCAGCGTCCAACAATTGAACAGGAAATCTAATAGAGAACTGTGAACAGAGGTAGTAAGCCATGAGCCAGCTACAAATGCAACAGCAACAGCAACAGCAGCAACATCGCCGTGGACACCGTCACCATCGTCGCCGCCAGCCCCCAGAGCCATGCGAGTGTTTGCGTCCTGTGATAAGGGTTTTTGGTCTGCTGACTTCATTCGGTAAGCTCAAGTTTCTGCAAAATGCACGAGAAATAATATAAATGTGAGCACAGGTGGAGTACTCTTCTACCTAAACCTGCTAAGCCCCCTCCCAAACATAATGCCAATCATGGAGACGGGGGAAGAACAATCTCATGGAATGGGGCATGATGTATGTGCATGAATAAATGCATGTTGCATGCTTCTGTTATGTCGCTGTTGCCATAGGTTTATTCCTAACAAATTGTGAGCAATATTTGTGTATAGAAATGCAGCAGGATATGTGGGGCTTGGCCATACAATGAAAATTCTGAGCAGATAATAGGGGAATATGCTTTGCAATAAATTTATTTTCAATAAGCAACATTTCTGCATGGATTTCTTTAGATTGATTGTGTTTTACTTATTCGCAGATTTAGTTCTTCTAAAACTGCATTTTAACTGCCCTTCTTTTGGCACTTTCTTTGCAATTTTTGTCAGCACTTGGATCATCAGTCTCTTCCATCATATCCAACAATATAATCTTCTATCTACATATATTCTTTTATTTATGAGGCAACTTTAACGTCCAGCTGCGGCAGCCATCAAACTTGACTTAAACGCTTATCATGGCCAATCAGCAGCAGGGACCAGAGTCAGTCCCCGAATGACCCTTAATGTGTTTAAAATACTGGAAAATCTGTGGCTCCCTTGTCAGCATATTCGTATGATAAATGGCTGGCTGCAGCATAACAAAAACTTTGGGGTCAAGTTCAAACTAATTTCCTTACAAATACTTGTGGGGGGCGACCCCGCTCTCTATTATGAGTGCAGCAGCAAGCAGCGTACAAAAGAGAAAAAAAACCAATTCTTGATAGTTCATAAACCCCGAGGCATGGTAGAGTGAGGAGCAAAATCCTGTGTCGGTGCCATTAACGAGGCATTGGCCTTTATGCAGCTTGCAGCTCACAATTCGCATCCTGTGCCAAAAGCAGCTTGCCCCCTCTGAAACTTTTCCATACGCTCCACAAGGTGCTTGTTGTTGGCGCCTTTTGGCGCCAGCCATTTTGCCACCCTAAGCCACTGGCCAACAGGGGCAGAATCTATTTCCTCCAACCATCTCTTTCAATTATCCAGATAATTTTTTTGCATGTTTTTCGTTCGATTCTCGATTCCCAGTTTTATTCTGTTCACAGCATTTAATGTAATTGGTTTGGTTTCGGTTCTGTTTGGTTCGGTTTGGAGTATCCACTGAAATATGGCAGAAATAAATGTGTTCCCTCTAACTGGTTTAATCTGATTTGTTTTTCGCGGCTTGGCATAATAAAAACAACTTAATTAGATTGAGTTTTTGTGTGGTTTAGGCCTGAATGGGTCGAGTCATTGTTTCAGCCCATATCTTACGCATTGAAAGTGGTCGACGGATGAAACAAACGGGAACAGGGAACGGGGAGCCACATAATATGGTCAGAATATGAATATTTGAGCGGGTTGCTTTAGCAGTTTGTAAATGATGAATCCGTTGTGTATTCCCCTACTCTGAAAACTCGTCAAACACATTTCGCCTTGCCTCAGTGGTTTCCTATTACATTTTATGGCCCTGAGCTTAGTGGACAAAAAAGCCTCAAACTCAATAAATATGCTTATAAATATATTTGCCTAGACACAATCACATTATTTTATGGGATATAGGATAACCAAAAACAGGATACCCCAAGCTTCCACCCAAAAACAATTCTCAAGCCATTTTTCATTCCAGTTATCTGCGGTGTGGGCGTCGATGTATATATGCATGGCTTCCAGGCGGGACTCTATATACTGTAAGCCATGTGCCAAGCGTGAAATCCTCCCCTTGAGCAGTGCGTTAATTTCTGGTCAGTTTTTCAGCTCTTCTGGTGATGTTCATCGAGGTCAAGTGGCTGGTTACGCTATTCCTGCAGCTCCAATGTTCCGAGTGAGTACATAACCATTCATATAACTATATTTATGATTTCGATTTTAATTGCTTCCAGGGAAAACTATCAGAGGAGCTTGAGAGGGTCCTGCGGCTGCTTGGGCTGCTGGCGCGTGTCGTGCGCCTTCTGCGGCGGTTGGCGACCCACGCCCATCTATGCGATTATTGGCATCTGCCTGATACTCTATCCGCATAATCTGTGGCTCAGCTATGTGGCTGGCATGTTCCTGCTGCTGCTCGGCCTCCTGCGACTCTGCACTCTGCTCCGATTCAGTCCTGCCAAAGACGAAGGCCTCCTGCCGCAATGCGACTTTGAAAAGTGAGGAAAGAGAAGCAAAAACTTTGCTTTGTATTTAATTGTTTGCTTTCTGCTTGTAGGGTGTCCAGTTTTTTGGATAATATGGAGGATGACTTTGCGGAGGTTAGTGCCTCGCAAACAGTCTTGGACCAGGAGGACGATGAAGACGACGGCGACGAGGAACCCACCATTGACGATGATGTTTGCTAATAGTTAAGAAGTTATGAAATTAATGCTTAAGTTTCACTATTCTAATTCATTTATGAGAATGGGAAACCATTAGCATTAATATTAATCAGGTTTCAAAAGGCTCAATGAGAATCATAAGCGAAACACTCGTATCTTGTTTTGTTAGTTTTCGTTCCATTTTTGCTTTGTCGAAGGTTAATTTTTCGCAAGTAAAAACTTCATTATAACGTTCGTCTCTGGGTACTTGTCGTTCTGCTCAAATTGATGTGTTCTGAACGGTTTCTGTTGTCTCTTCTGATCTCATTTGATTAGATTTGATTTGATTGCCTTAGAAGCGCCTCACAACGTTCTCCCTCGCTTCATTTGGTCGAAGGTCTCTCCCACAGTTCTTGTTCCCTTTTGCCCAAGTGAAAAATTCATTTTAATTTAGTTTTTTATTTGACTTTGTGGCAAATGGATTTCCCACATGACTGAATGCCAAGAGAATGGGCTGCTGGTCCCGACCAATCCACTTCTCTTCTACTTCCACAAAAGCTCGCTCAAGGCCCTCGTCCTCGTCGTCGTCTTCATTGGACTCATCATTGGACTGTTCATTCGAAAAGTAACGATGGTGTCCATAATCACCATGGTGTCCATGATGCTGTCCGTAATCCCCGTGATGTCCATGGGAAGGAGCTCCTGGATAGTAGGCTCGATATGAATGCCAGCCTGGGTAACCTGGTGGGCCGGGGGGGCCAACTGGACCAACTGGGCCAACTGGGCCAACTGGGCCTTGAAAACCGGGATAGCCCTTAGCGCCTGGATGTCCTTTTGGCCCTGGATCTCCCTTGGAACCCTTCATTCCTGGATACCCTTTGAAGCCTGGTGGACCCACTGGCCCAGGTGCTCCTGGTGGCCCTGGTGGTCCCGGAGGGCAATTGCAATGATGAGACGGCTGTGGATACGGATAGCCATGCGGCGGATATGGCGAATGATGGTGATGATGATCGTGATGATCGTGGTCCGGGGTGATGATCACTTCATGCGGTGGTGATGGTGGTGGTGGTGGAGCTGGAGCCGGAGCGGGATTGCCGGTCATCAGCGTGATGTGGCGTGGTCCAAAGGTGTCAGTCTCTGCCTCAGTAACTGCAGGCAGCAGCACACCCAGGGCAAATATAATCCAGTAATTCGGAAAGCAAACTCTTAAACGCGACTTCATTCTGCAAACTAACCCAAAATCAGATCATCAGCAGCTCTTTTATATCCCAGAGAGAATGGCGAGTGGTGGAGAATCAGTCAAACTACCGTTGGTGTAGCTCATTCTAAGATTTATGTATTTGTCTGGCGATTATTGTCTTGTATATTATTGTCCATGCAAATGCCTCTTCTCTCTTAAACTAAGCCAACTATTAATAAGTTTATCAAATGTATGTGTGCTGGATTTGCATAAAACTCAATGAATGAATGAATGGGTTCTCTTTTGCTTTGCTAAAAGAACTTTCACAGGCCAAAGCCCCCTTGCTAAAGAGCCATGAAAAGTGAATGCGTGAGCGAATTGATGAGTGCTAAATGACAAAATCAAATACCAAAAAAAAAAGGGGAAATATGTAAGCATTTCGAATTCTTAATTTAATACACTTTGACTTACTTGCTGTAAACTACCAAAAGACTCTTAAGACTCACAATTGACAATTTTCCACTCCACTCCATGCCAAAGAAAAAGCTTTATTCTTCATCTATTTCTTGTTGCTGCTGTTTTGGTATGAATTCTTTATTATTCCTTTTGTTATGTGTGTGTGTGAATTGGAGCCCCGCCCACAAAAAACTTTAACAGAATTCTCGTTTTGTGGGCAGTTAGATCTCTCCTAACAAATACTCACGCTTCAGTCTAAAACTTTTAGTTACTGGGGGGTGGGAGGGAGGATTGGGAGGGACTTGCTGTAACATTTCTTCGAGTTTTTCTTGTTTGCTCTTTTAACATAACATACACATACTCGTATGTACATACATGTGTCTGTAAATAGTTGTAACTTTTAAAGTTCGTTTTTATTTGCCTTGGTTTTGTTTTTGTTTTTTTTTTTTTTTTGGTATCTTCTCTTACAATTTTGCTATGCAATAAACATATTTAATAATATTTGTTTATAGTAATATATTTTGTTTAACTATTATTCTCTTTGTTGGGTTTGTCTTCGCTGAGAAAACATTTGAGGTAGCTGCGTTTTTATGTTGCATTTAGTTGTTATACTCGTTCGTAGATATATACGCTTGATAATCCCTGATACATATATATATATAGTGGTAGTTGTTGTTGCTGTTGCTGTTGCATCTGGTGGCTAAGAAGAGCTTCGCTTGGGACAAAAAATAATAAGAAAACGAATAGAACGAACGAACGAAACGAAAAAATTAACTAAAATTTATATTTATTTTATTTTGTATATATAATATAATATAATATTACGATAGATATTACTCATGAACATATACATAGAAAATATTGAAATATGTGTTTGTTAAAATTAAAATTAAAGAATAGTCAAAAAAAAAACAGAGAATTAATCATCGAAACAATAAAAGGAAATTCAACATTTAAGAGAAACAAAAATAGTTGGCGTTGGTTTGGTTGTTTGGTTCAGTAAGTTCGTTTCAAAGGAAAAGTGCTCCATGATCGGTTGATGGATTGATGGATTGGCGTTTAAGGAGATTCTAGCCATGAAGTCTGCACTCAAAAGTAAACTCAATTTGACTAGATAATGGATGTTGGTTAGTTGTTAGTTAACTTTTGATTTTGGTCTCTGTGCTCCGACGATGCTACCAAACTGCGTCTGAATTTGTGGCTATTGCAGGTTCAACTGAGGATCACAGAACCCTTTCCACATACTAAAACCAACAGTTGCGGGGGGGGGGGGGAAGGATAAAGGTAAAACCAAACAAGAATCGGGGCGTGTAAAAACGGAAGAAGACATTGAAGAAACTGATCAGATATTATTTTTGCTTGTTATCACTTGCTCTTCTTATAACATACGACTAACAACTATCTTTGGGATTCGATTCGAACTTTGCTGGCTCTTCTCTTTGCTGCAATATTTTCCTCTCTCTCTCTCTCTCTCTGGCTTGTATTCTGCCACGCTCCACCAGCTCCTTTGGCTGCTCCTGCTCCTCATCCTGCACTTTATTTCTCGCTATAAAAATATAAACAATTTCTGTTTCCTGCAGGGGTGGGGGACTGGGGGGGAGGACTGATTTGATCTCTGATCCAACTGGCCGATCATCTGAAGTGTTGTCTCTCTGTGGTTGTGTGTGTATATCATCTGGCACACGCCACGTCAAGGCGCAGGAATATGGCATACATTCCAGGCATTGTCGCAGCGACTTTGGGGGTTTTAGGGTTTGGTTCGAGGTTTGAGGTTTGAGGTTCGTGGTTCATGGTTAGTTGGGCGGGGATTGCATACTACTGCCTCCACGGGAGCCTCCCACAGCTCTGGATTGTCTGCCGAGCCGCGCCCTACAACGCTTAGTAGAAGGAGCTGCACCAGGCATCGCCCGCCGTGGGGCTTAGCATGCCGACCATGCTCGTGCTGTGATGCTGCGTGGTCACGGCGCCAGTCGCCACGGACGCCGGCGATGCGTTGGTGGCATGCGTCGAGCTTGGCAAACATTGGAAGCAGTAGTTGGCCCCGTAGTTGCTGTCCCAGAACTGTTGACCCTTGCACTGGAAGCGCACGGCAAACTCCAGCCGCTGGCCCACATGCAGCGAATTGCCAAACAGCACAAAGGTGAACTTGTCCGAGAAGCCGTCGCAGGAGTTCTCCACATAGTTGGCCTGCAGATCCGCATAGCTGCGCCACCCATCCAGCGAGTAGCGAATGTGCACGGACTTGTGGAAGTCGAGATTACGCACGCGCACCGAGCCGGATATCGTCTGGTTGATGTTGTCCGAGACGGCGGCATTCTCCAGCGAGACCTGCTTCTCCCTGACCGCATCGAGGAATGTGGGCAGGCCGCCCGGCTGCTGGAACAGCGGCATCAGCAGCTTGTCCGACTTGGGCCCCATCTGCATCGGTGGCTCCGACTCGAGTATCTCCAGATCCTCGAACGCTGACTTCGGTATTGTGGGTATCTCGTCCAGGAAGGTCTTCACATCAGCCAGATCCAGGCCCAGCACATCGGCGAATCTCACAATCTTCTTGCGTCCGGGCGTGCCCGGTGGCGTCTTGCCCGTCTTCAGCGAGGAGCAACGCCTCACCCTCTGTGGCCGGCAATCGTCCTCGTCGTCTGTTGTGTCGATGCTGTGGGTGCTCTTCTTCTCTGCCGCCTCTGCCGCCTCGGCGGCATCCTGCTTGGCCTTCTCCAGCTGTGCCAGCTCCACATCCACTGTGAGATTGCTGTCTGTGGTGTCGGCTGTCACCGATTTGTCTGTCTCATCGACACCGCTGTCGGGGGAGGTGTCCGCCACGGCATCATCCCTTTCCGGCGATGCGGAGGTATCCAAAGTTCTGTCGGGTGTCGGCACATCGTAGACCCTCTCGTCTAAGATTGTGTCGGGTGTGGTCTCTCGGGCAGACACCTCGAGGGGTTCTGCTTTCAGTTCAAGCTGCTCCTCGGCGCCCACGTGACCATTGGTGAGAGTGCTGGGCTCTTCTTGTGGCGCCAGTGCCACAATGCTGGCACCATCCTTGTAGCTGTCGCTCTGTTGCAGCAGTTCGCTGAGTATTTGTGCTTGTAGGAGCGCCTCATCCTCCTGATCGATCACATCCACAAACAGCTGTTCAGTTTTCTGGTCAGCTGTGTCCTTTTGTGTCTCCTGCTGCTGCTGCTCCACCACCACAGGCTGCACCTCTTCCTTCTGCTCCTGCTGCTGACCGTTTGTCAGCTCGTGTCCCCCATTCATTGGCAATGCATTCACAGAGTCCGGAAACTCGACGGCGACAGGCAGCTTGCTCAGCTCTGTTGCCTGGGGCTGTGAAGTCTTTACCGTGACCAGGATCTGGTCCGGTATCACTGAACCAGCGACCGAATTGGACGCTGATGTGGCATCGAAGTAGGGTCCATCGGCGGCGCTGCTGCTGTGACTGCTGGCAGCGGAGGCGCACGCGTAGCCCGACTCGGCCGTCGAGTTGTGTGGCGTATTCGAGGCGGTTTCAATCAGACGCAGGTACTCGCACTCATCCACCGGACTACCAGGTGACTCCAGCTCACAGTCAAAGTCGAAGAACGAATCGGACTCGTGGCGCAGCGGCTGCAGATCGGTCACAGTCTGTTCAGAGTCGTGAGCATTCACCCAGGTGTTCGTGTTGGTGCCATTGATGATGGGCTCATCCTCGGGATTCTCAACGCCCTCTTCGTTTGCCTACAAACAAAAGGGAGAAGGAGTCTGATTAGTAAGAATTCAAATTTGGATTGGAAATTATATAAAACCCAGTAAGCCGCAACCAAATCAGTCAGAACTTTCGAACAACTTTCTCAGTTTTCATGTCGTAGTCGCAAAGTAGAGACAAATTGTCGTCCCAAAACTTATTTAGTTTAATAATTATAGAGTAAATTCACAACTCCGTCAAGATGAAGATGCTAAATTTGCGTTCAATGGCTCCGGACTTCGATACGATTGCCGTCGTGGCTGGCGGGTATCGTAATCTGGCGCTGAGAGACTTGCGTGGCCGTTATGTGCTGTTGGTCTTCTATCCCGCAGACTTTTCGTTTGTCTGCCCCACCGAGTTGCAGGCGTTCAGCGATCGCGCCTTGGAGTTCCGCAATGTGGGCTGCGAGGTGGTGGTCTGCTCGACCGACAGCCACTTTGTGCACAGCGCCTGGATGGGCCTGCCGCGCAAGAAGGGCGGCTTGGGGGACATGGACATCCCGATGCTGTCGGACAAGTCCATGAAGATAGCCAAGGACTATGGCGTGCTGGACGAGAAGACGGGTCTGGCCTTGCGCGCCACCTTCATCATCGATGGCGAAGGTCTGGTGCGACAGATCACCATCAACGACAATGGTGTCGGTCGCAGTGTGGACGAGTCACTGCGTCTTGTACAGGCATTCCAGTTTAGCGATGAGTTTGGTCTGGTTTGTCCCGTCAACTGGCGTCTGGGGGCCAAGGGTATGAAGCCGGATGAGGACGGCAAGGTGGAGTATTTCAAGAATGCCTCATAAACATAGATACACACATACACAATGTTTACACACGAGTACAGGCAGTTCAATAAATGTTACCCTTAATCCTTAATCCTTAATCCATAAGGATACATTGTCTTACCTGTGATCCCAAGGTACGCAGCTTGGAGGACAAACTCCGTGCGAATGCCTCGGCCCGGCCACGGCATGAGGACATCCCTATAGTTGGTATGATTGAGATAATGCTGCAGGGCTGCCTGCTGTCAGGCGTGCTTGAGTGTGTCAATGGTATATCGCCGGGATCGTTCATTTACGTCAAGTCGGGTGTATTGCAACGGATCACCGGAATATCTGCAAATAAATACCATAGAAAATGTATATGACGTGAGTTATAATATTAAGCAAATCTCTGTTGTTGTTTTCGCTCAAGTAAACAAATAAATTTCCCTCAACACTTTCTCTTTCTCTGAAAAACAGCTGGCAACATGCTATGTATATATTTTCTATAACATTTTGTATTCATTAACTGCAGCGCACATTAGCTTTCCATTTTTAGATGATTTGATTTAGTTGGCTGTCATTTATTTTTTAATAGATCGGTTAAGGAATTTATGCACAGAAGTTGTGTGGGAAGAGAAGAAAGAATAATGTTGTAGATATATATTCCTGCAGATCATTGATTGAAACAGAACCCTTTCAGAGCTGACAACACTATGCGTGTGTGAATCGATTGGTGGTATAAATCATGTGATGAAAACCCCGACGAACTTGATGACATCGCCCAAGTGGTAGCAGGTGACCATAACAAATTGTTGTTAACACTTCTTGTTCTCTTTGTTTTGCTCTTGGCACATGGGTTTGCTGTTTGTTTTCATTTCTTGGGTACCGCCAGCTGCACGTGCTTTACCTCTGATCAGGTGAAAAGCCAAGCCACGCCCATTCACAGAGTGAGATGGAGGCGGATACTACTGAGACAGAGAGAGAGAGACACGGGAAGTGGTGGGTGACGCCCAATTGAGACATCAGAGTGCCATTCGAAATTAGATGCGCCAATCGAGGCGGAGACAAAGTCAATTGGCCTTGAACTTTTTTTTGAGGCATTTATTTTTTCGTCTATTTTTTTTTGCCTCCTTCTTTTTCTTACTTTTTGTCTCGTTTTTGGGTTTTAGATATTTTACTTTTTATTTTTGGCAGCCTGCATAGGAAATTTAATTAAGCAGCAGAACAAAAATTGAACTGAACAAAGTTGTAAAAAAAGTAAAATAAAATAAAAGATCGTCCGACAATCGATCGATTAAGGAGGTCAAAATGCCGATCTCTTTGAAATTTCCTTAAAATTAAATCAACTGCCTCTGCCGGCATATAAGTATTTTCTATATAGTATAGAAAAGAGATTCCTCTGTAGATGAGGCGATGAGGCACCTTATGCCACGAACATATTTCACATGAATCACAGTCATCCCTTGGGTACGGGACCCGGTCGAAAAATTGCAGTTTTCTTTTTCGGCCTGAGTACCTTTACTCATTTTTTGCGCTTCTCTTTATTTCTTATAGATAGGTTGAAATTGTTGTTGGCTGTGTGCCAAGTGGCTAAATGCGTTTTGGGTGCAGATGACGTTGGACCAAGAAACGCAAAAAAAAATAAAAAGATTACAAAATATATGCATTAAGAGAGAGAAATATTTTCAGGGGGGGCAAAAAAGTAATTTATGAATTAAAGATCCACTGAAGCCTGACATAATGTGTTGATACATTTTCGAAAATAATTGAAGAATAAAAATTCATCGATTGCTTGGCATTTGTACACATTTCTACTTGAATTTATATTCCTCTCTTGACTTTCTTTTTCTTTCTGCCTAAAAATATTACCCATATAAATAATTATTGCTAATGCAGGCACACATTTTATAAATAAAATATATGCATAACAAACAAAATAAATAAAATAGAAACAAAACGAAAAGAGTTCTATAAATAAATCTACGACAACATATGTATGTTTCAATTCTGTTTTATGGCCGAAGTAACATTTCCGTTCTATTCTTTTTTGTTTCGTTTTTTTCGTTATTTGCTCACTTTCTTCATGGGTGAATCTTTTTTGGCTTGTTTTGACTGTTACTGAAAGATACGTGTACTTAGATGCTGCGATACTCTCTTAAGTAGCCCCGCACACGCACTGCGCAGAGAATTGGGAGACAGCCATAAAGAAGCTTAATTGAATTAAATTGGTGGAAATGTAGAGAGAATTGATATTACTTCAAGTGGTTAACGCAATAAAAATAACTTTGCATTATTCTTGATTGGTTCACATCACCGTCGCTGTCTGTTCCAGTGAAGTCAAGGTGCTGTTGAGGTGCCAATTCAGTAGATAAATATACATAATTTAAAAAGCATTTTACCTAGACTCTAAGAAGTGCGCATTTTGTCAAAACTGATCTAAAATATCACTCAAAGATGCTTGCGAAATTTAATATTTATGTAAGATGCAGAATTCCCAACTTAAAAAATCAGCAAGTCAAATCTCAATGGCGCACTTTCGCATGCATTTATACTCGTAGACACATAAGAGAAACACGATCTTTGATCACTGATCCGTTTCTAGCTCTGATATCTACACCACAGTCGCTTTAAGGGTCAATCAGTTGGAAAATAAGATATAGAATATCTTTAAAGCTATCAGAGCATCTCGAGGCACTTTTAGAATATTTACAAACTGATGATCGGAAACGCTTTGATGAGCCACAGATACACAGACACGGAGAAACAGGTAGAGTGGAAGTTGCTTATCACTGGAACAGCTCACTGCATTTGTCATGTCAATTAGTTAGTCACTGCACTAGTTATATGTAGATGCGCCATTCGCCATCCGATTGGATGTTTCTAGGCCTACTATTAGCATTTGCCGGTCGCCGGCTTATCACCTGAACTACACATGATATTTGCAATGTGGACGATGGGTTCGGTTCAATTCTGGTGGGTGTTGGAATATAGCAATTGCTGTTAATCGTGCTGCGGCGGCGTTTCGATTATAAAAGCTGATAACAAAAAATTTGCAATTTTATTTATAGCAAACGCAATTGACCCGGACCGGGAATTGTTTTCGAGCCGATACTCTCCCTGGGTGTGCACTCTCCCTGGATGTGCTGGCTGGCTGCCTCACTTACACTCGATCGCGGCCAGACAGATTGGTGATATAATCGATCCACTTGATAGCCCGCGCCGCTGGTAGAGCCAAACTTTTATTGGTCTCTCCGTATCACTCTTGTAAATGTTGTGGCAATTAATAGCTGGGGTTGGCAATGATGGAAAAACTACTGCGTCGGGCAGATGGCATCTGGGAATTCGGACATCCGCAGACTCGAAACTCGAACTCGAAACTGCACCACGTCTGCAGCGTCACGGTGTCGGCGGTGCACTGAATACAAAAACGATCTGTTTTGTTTTGTTTTTGGCATTCAGCAAAGCAAAATTCAAGCTGATTGATAAGGCAATATAGGATCGGTTCGGATCGAATCGGAATCGGAATCGAAATCGAAGCGCACCAGAATCGCAAATCGCAGCCAAACACACCGCCAACGTTGTCTGCTTGCTGCTGCCTGCCCTCACACTGATCGCGCCCTCAGTCCGCAGTCCAACACACCTCCTCCCTTCCATCCATCCATCGCTGTATCTGTATCTCTGTGTGTTTGTGTGTGTACTCATCGCAGTGCATCCCAAAAGGTAACTGCAGCCACCACCACTGTGCAGCGGCCGTCAGGCAGTCGCTTCTATAGACGGATGCTCGTGATCAGTGACGTCGTCAGCCTCGAATGTCTGTCTCAGTGTTCATCTTAGCTAACTGCTCTTCGAATCACCCTTCCGATTAGGGGATGATACACTTAGCGAAATGGTTTGTCAGATTTCATTAAATTTCAAGACAAATTTTCATTGAAATTTATGTTTTAAAAATTATATAAAAATGTGTACGAAATTCCATAAGTTCAGCAAAACAATATTCTTCAAAAGAACTCTGTACAGGGTACTACCGTTTCGTTTATGCCATACAACAGATTTGAATTACTGCAATAAATTGGTAAACACTCGAATATATATTGCTTTATCTTTCCTTTCTCTCGGTTAGCTTAGCTAGAGATAAAATAAATACATGACAGATAGCATGACAAAAACCATGAAAGGATCAGCGTGTCTAATTGCTCTCATCTCTAAGCCTATTTCAGTGTCCACCGCCCGCTGTGATTGCGGGTTGCCATGTTGGCCAATATCGATATGATATGACGCTTATCAGCTGACGGCTGTTGGTGGTTAAACCTGCGATTAGGTTTATGGGTTCATCGGCAATTTGTGATTGTTTAGACACAGGCGCCGGAATAGTTTGCACTTCTGATTTTGCAGGGCTCAACAATTCAAGTTAGATGGATGAGTGACAGGCAGAGACAGCAGCAGCTGATAAGAGACCCACTAAGCGGAGCGTTGAACTGCCCTACTAAACAAACAGGTTTGGACAGATCCACCACAGCCACAACTAGAAGTCATTAAAGTCTTAACAATCAATTAATTCAGACATTTATTCGCTTTTCTGTTCAACAAAGAGCGATAAGATAAGATTGGTGCTAAAGATGTTGGAGGTTAATCTAATAATGGAATTATGTGAATAGCTAAAAATATGATTAGTTATTTTAAAGGTACTTCGGGGGGGATGCTTGACATTGAAGATAAGGCAATTTGTGGCAAGAATAACACTTGGAGATAGTTGACTGTATATCGGAGCAAAGATCATTAGAGAGTATTTATACGCTGTCATTCACTGTCGCATATATCATCAGCATAAGTTCCTGTCAAAAATGCCCAGACCGGCAAGTGCCGCCCACGCTTTAAAGATAGATATGTATAATATCTGTTCGAGTTTGTGCGGTGTGTGTGCTGCCTCCATCAACAAACCACAACAGCTGACTGACTGGCTTTTCCTTTTATTTATAAATACACAGAAATTAGGAATATATATTTCTTTATGGTAAATTAGCCTAAAACTTAGACAGACACTCCCAACACGCGCCGCTCCGTCTTGGAGGATATCTTTTCTCCCCCTTGCGTGTCACTTGTTTTCGCTTTTGGGAATCGATTTGCATCGGAACTCCATTACAATCAATATACAGAATGGCTTTCACGAGCCTTGTTTCAAGCGCTAATTTGCTGACGGTAATTTGTTGCTGCTGTATCTAGCAGAGACTTTGCGTTTGTGTGAGTGCGTGTGTGCCGTCCCCGTCCCGTGAGTGTGGGGGTGGTGTTCTCACTCGTTTTTTTTTTTCAGTTTTTCGGCTGGCGCGTGTTTTTTGTATTCTTTTTTATATTTATTTTTTATTTATATTTGTATGACATTGCTACCCAGCGAAATGTCAAAAGCAAACAAAGCCAAGCGCCGTGACCAGCCAACCCACAGGGAAAACGCTTGCGCTGTTCCGAAAACACAGTTTCAGATACACAGATACGAACTGCTGGGGGCAGATACTTTCGATTTCCTCCTTTTATGCGTACGATTATTGCTTGTGTTTGAAGATAGGGCTTGGCATTGTTTTTGTTCTACTTATAGATTGTGTGATAACGAGCAATTTTTCGGATTGTTTTGCTGTGACTAGGATGGTCCTGGAAGTACGTCGTCAAGAAAGGGAGATTTCTTATGTAAGCAATTGTGTACGTGAAGTAATACCTAAATTAATAGTATTACGAAATTCGGACATATATCTGTATTACCATAATACGATGCCGTTTCAAACCCAAGTGGAAACTGCCATGCAAACTGATTGATAGAACTTCACAAATTGAAGAACAATAAACCAGTTTATCCCCTATTTATTCCAATCTATGGAATACACACAAGTAAAGTAATTCAACTTAATTATTATAGTCTGGTCTGGTAGATGAAACTTGAACTCCCTGAACTTATCCCCAATTGAACACGTTTCGTCTCTCCACTCTGTCTCTCTCTCTCTCTCCCCGGGGTTATTTCATGTTTTGGCTCAGCTCAGCTTCCAATCGCAATGACTTTAGATGCCATAATCAATGTCAAACGTATCTCATGGATACACGCACATGGTAATTGCAAAAAGAGCCAACCAGAATAATCACGCAATCGCTTTGCATATACATTTGTATGTACTATATCTGGAACACGCACTTAATTATGCTTCCACCTTGTGTATGGTGTGCATAGGAAATATGATGGAATTATTACCAACCTGTAGTTTTAATATAATTCCAAGGCGTTCCCTTTTTGGCCTTTGCCAACGTTCTGTTCTGCTGGCACTCGCAGAGGCGTAGGCAATAAAAAGAATTAGTTGTCAAAAGTTGTCGCATAAATATCGCCTACATATACCGATTTTTTTCTATATAGCATTCTATGTATATATGTGGAAGCGGGCCTTTTAGGTATTGCGTGCCTGGTTGTCGTTATGTAGTCGTCCAAATATGTGGGATAGAAAGGTTAAAGAAGGACTCCGCCAGTCGTGAACTTTCACTTTCACTCACTTTCACACACACATACATATACACCTTCACTTTTGTGTTTTGGGGGGCCAACAGAGGGCGCTAGTTGCTTAGATAACACTTTCCTTGAATGGAATTTTTGTATTTTCTTGAGATATGTTTTATTTCATTTATTTCTGTGTTAAATTATTATTACATTGGGGTTATTTAATTTATTTTAATTTTGTATTTTCACTCACGTTCCATTCAAAAGTTTTTTGATTTGGGTTAAGGCTTTGGTTTGATAACGATTCGGCTTGTGTTTTGATTTGAGGGTTCTCTGAGAATGGTCGGGCGGCTCCTACTACAACTACAAAACTCCACTCGGGCTGCACACATAAATCGGATAATATTTTGTAAAGTTTCACGGTTTTCTTTAGTTTATTTTTGTTTTGTTTTGGAATCCGTTTTATTTGTATTTTTTGTAGATTTTTATTTTATTATGATTTTGTGCCAGCGCTGAGTGGCAGCCGTGGCAGCAGCGCCCGTTGTAGTGGCAACATTGGCGACTTGGTCGCAATAAGAGTGTCATTCAAGGGCATTGCAAGGTCGCAGCAGTTGCGTCTTTCGCCCACTGGCGGCCGAGAGGCGAGAGCAGAGCGTCGACAGCCGACAGCCGCATGGCGAACGTTGCGGCTGCCTCTTTTTTTTCTTTCTTGTTCTCCGATACACAGATACCAAAGATTTTTTGAGAATTATTTTGCTTATTATTTCGGGTTTCTGCGACTGCTCTTTCTTGTGCAAAAACGGCCAACAGGGAGAGAGCGAGAGACGCTGCGATTTAGTTATTATTTGTGTTTATTAATTTTTATATCGTTGTATCTCAAAGATACATTTACTTGTCGAATATCTAGTTTTAGCTTCAAGTGGCTTTGCCTTGACTTGAATCTCGTTTTGGATCGCCCGTTTGGCCGTCCTGTCGTGTGGCAACTGAGGCAGTATCGCCAAAAGCTAAACCTTGCTGGGTTGCCGACTCTCTCTCTCTCTCTCTCTGTTTGTCTCGTCTCTCTGGTGCGGCAGCTTCTCTGTGGGCGGTTTTTGGGTGGCTATGTGTTCTAAATGTCATGAGAGGCAGTTCTAGAGAGCACGGTGGGCAAACAATTGAGAGAAAACTCAATTGGCACAGTGGAACACATATGTGGAATCAAAGAAGTGTTTGCTTATTTCAGTAGCAACCACCTCAGCAGCTATTTCTTACCCACTGTACAGCAATTGCTTGCTACTTGGCACTCTCCTCTTTTTCGCTTCTCACTCTCATTTTGCTCTCAGTTCTCGCTGTCTCTATCGCACCTTTACTGGGTCGTCAGGTGTGGAGCCGGCATTTCTGTCCTATTTGTTTTGTTTCTTTAGAACACTTTTGTTTGGTTTATATTTGCATTCTTTAATTGTTTGTACAATTTTTATGTTTGTTTCATTTAATGATTAATTGTTTTCTTTTCTTTAAAGCAAGCTGCAGCCCAGCCAGTGTGTCTGAGAGCAGTATAAACACCGTTACTATGTACACACACATGTATGCAGGTATGTATTTGTGCCTGGCATATTCCGCTCTGTATTATGTTTAAAGTGCGTTGACTTCGGGATTCAGTAATTGTAAATTGTAGTTCCCATTACATGGGAATTGTATTTTTTGAGGCATATACATATGGCAGACACAGATTCAGAGACAGACACAAATGCAGGCAAACACATGGTCATGCCACCCTCTCTTTTGTTGGCTGCTCTCTTCTGTTTTTCGTATTCTCTTTGCTGTTCCATTTTCATCTGTGGGTCAAGCAGCGACTACTTTCGCTTTCGTTTCACTGCGACGGCGCTCTGAAGCACAGCTAATTCAATTCTCCCTGAGCTCACTCCTCGTGTGGACCGCCTGGTGTGATAGAGGGACAGAAAACCTAGCCTGAACAATATTGGCTTTAAAAGCGGCTCCATTCATCACATGACATTAAATGAACTGCAATTAGTTTGAATTTTTGGCACAGGTGTCTCTAATTAGACACTTGGACAATGAATGAATTAAATTAATTCATTTTAGTTGGAATTTGATGGATAGATAGATGATATATATGTGTATGCAGATGAAAACTGGTGGTTAGCAGATATATTTCTAATTAAAAATGTCTATTTCTATGGATTTTACAATAAAAGTTGTAAAAAACATAACAGAATCGATTAAGGAAGACCGTTTCTATTAGAATATGAAACTGCACACCAATTTTGGGGCAGATATATATATAGCTAAAAATGTATAAAGCAAAACAAATTGTTTGAAGCTGTTGTTAACGACATAACGGTTAAAATGCCATGCTGCTAACTTGTTCACCTAAAACACCAAGTACATGTCAACTACACCAGAATGTAGTAAGCACAAATCTCTTCAGAGACACCTATCGACGAATGTTACGAATAAAACTGAGACGGTATTTTCGGTGCTTTTATGAAGCGTGTGACGGGAAAACCTTATCGATATGTTCGCGAAAAGTAGGTAGCAAAATTTAGTACCCCTTGGGGAGAGGATATGCTCGAATTGTCAATGCAAAAACATGTCAATATGTCTTGGAGATCCATCTAAACGAAGCAGATTATATATACAGAGATTGTAATCAGCACGTCAGTCTAAGATTTATTAATGTTTAAAAGTTTGGAAAGCAGAATTTCAATATTAGTTAATGGAAATAGGGTATTGACGTTCCACTCACTTATCGTTTTATGCTATTTTTTTGGTTCAACTTTTTTATCTTACAAACAACAAAACAAAGGATGTCATGTCAAGTCTTGTATGGAATTGATAAATCGGATAAAATTATAGTTTCAAGGCTGAGAGTTGTTACTAGCTGGTCATTTAAAATAGAATAGCAAAATCGAGAAAAATTAGTTAAATCGGTATATTTATGGTATATTCTTAAAGTTATATTCGGTATATTTCTGAGGGTCGGGAGGTGTTTTTAATCACAAGGTCCGCGGTTATACTAGTGGAAATTTCGTGCAAGTTTTTTAACAATTTCCTAATGACATAAACAAATTGAAAGTGAAAGGAAACCGTCAAAACGTCGCGTTTGTGGCTTCGCTTATATTTCGGTCGCACTATCGTTCGATCAAGAAACGGGAATCCATTCAGAATGAGTGCCAGCGTCGTGCTTTCCCGCCATGGCGCCCAACAACCTGCCCAGCAACAACAACAGCTGTTGCACCAGCAAGCTGCACTGCCTGCAGTGCGCCCATGTGTAAGTGGTTGCCATGGAAACCATCGGCGTCTCTCAGCTGGCGCTGTGGCATTAGTATGCGTACAGTTCACTGGTGTGGTGTGGGGTAGGCATGGAAACGAAACGGTTCTTTCTTCTTCTAATGTCAGTTCTAAGCTCTGGAATCAGCCTGTCCCATGAGGCTTAGGTGACAACATTACCGATCAGTTAGAACTTGGCTGCCGCGGGAGACGCAACAAGCTGTAAACAAGAAACGTACAGGCGGCACGACTTAAATATTTATGTTAGAGTTTATAAATAAACAATAAGCCAGTCTAAAGTCCCCAACCCAACTCTTTCAGATGCTCATCGAAGATGAGGTTCACGGAGTCATTGAACTGCCGAGCCACATACAGGAGATTGTGGAGCATCCGCTGTTTCAACGCCTGAAGAAGGTTCATCAGCTGGGCCTAGTGCCGTGGGTGTTGGAGCCTCATGCCAATCAGAAACGCTACGACCATTGCTTGGGGTGAGTCTCACAAATATATTAATTTAAACCCGCTTCTAACGCCTATCTCTTACAGAACCTACAAAAGCGCCCAGGATCATATGAGAGCCATTGAGCGCAACACTAAACTTAAGGCTAAGCTGCCCAATTGGTGTCGAATGGCCGTGGAGATAGCAGCGCTCCTACACGACATTGGTCACGGACCGTTTTCGCATGTCTGGGAATCGGTTTGCCAACAGCAGTTCGATGTAAGTTATTCGTTTTCTTCGATGAAGTCGGCTTAGCAACGTTCCTTTTTCTATATTCTATAGCACGAGGAGAACGCTTTGCACTGTGTGGATCGCATATTCAAGGATGCTCGTCACACGGAGCTGGTAGCATTGCGGGATGAAGGCTGTGGCCGTGGAGTTCAGCTCATTAAAGCATTGATATTGGGCGACACTGAGTACCTAAAATTTCCCATGATGGGGTATGCCTATATCTTTGACATTGTGCACAATAATCGCTGCGGCCTGGATGTAGACAAGTGGGACTATCTGCGGCGCGACAATAAACGCCTCAAACTACTCAGTCCTGCAGAGATGGACTTTGATAAGGTATTCCTAAAAGCCCGCATTTCGCTGGATGGCCAACGCATTGAGTATCGCTATGAAGACTATCACCGCATCTATGCTTTGTTCGAGGCACGCGGCCGACTCCATGTGGAGGCCTATCAGCATCCCAGAAATGTAGCCGCCGAACAGATCTTTGCTGATTTGGTGCAGCGTCTGGCGCCGCAACTGGTTGACCTGCGATCCAATGACGCAGGCTGGCTAAACCTGGACGATGAGCATGTCCTGGAGCTAATTCAAAATGATCCGATGGCCGCCTATTTCCGTGAACCAAAACGCGTTGTGGAACTGCATTTTTTCAATCGTTCAGATGCCAAAGTTGCAACCGTTTGCCGAATAATCGAGGCACCCGGCAAGGCCATGAAGCCCGATAACGCTTTCGCTTTTTATGGCAGTAAGCGGTATGAATGCTGATTATTTTATTAGTGCTCCATGTGATGAATGTTTTCTTTGTTTCATTCACAGCAAGAAGCGTCCAATCAATCGATGTCTGACAGCCACATCGTTCAACAAGTGCTTTCAATTAGATTAAAAATGCACCTCACACCCACACAATCATACACAATAATTGCTAACAAGTTAGTGACATTTTTCGTTATTGTTTATCTTTCATTTTGCCATAACAACCCGATATTCCATTCAATGAAGTCCGTTTTACATTGAGAGTTATGTTTTTGCCTAGTATGTATTTTTGTCTTACTCTTTTGTTGGTCAGTTTTGTTAGGGCCAGTTGCTGTTCATGATCGATTTGTATTCGTATTTACCCGCAAAAGAGTCTCAAAGCCGAAGATGTTCTTAGAATATTGATTTATTATTTAATACAATCTATTTTATGTGGTTTCTTATAGACTAAAATACTAACACAAAAATTTCAACAGTTCACTTGAAGACATCACAATTCGAATTCAGGTCTTACTAACCTTAAGTACACACTAATCAATATAAATATATGTATAAGTTGTATTTTTGATAACCAATTTGAAATATACACAGAAGAGAAACAACTAATTTGCTACATACAACACGTACAATAATGGTAGGGGGGCGGGGCACTTCTTAGCTGACTACAGTTTCGAGTATAATTTTTGAGTTTTGAGTGCTTCTTGTTCGTCTATACAATTATTTGTTCAATATTTTGTTGCTAATTGCCAACGATGCCGGGCGGATGTGCTGAATCTGTGATAATGCGCTGCGGTAAATGGGCGGCCAGATATTGTTTGTGCAGCCTCTGGCGACAGAACTGATAGAATTCGATCTCATTCGTAAAGTTGCGCCTCACAATATCCTTCACACTCTCGCTGACGGGCGGCTTAAAGTTGTTCTTGTTGATCTTCGTTAGGTACTCGGCACTGGCTGTAAGTGGATAAGTTCATACACATAGTTGTGGTTAGGGCTTGCCAGCGAATGTATCAAGTTCTCATTTGACAATCTCAAGTGGCACTTAAGTGGCTTTGATTCGTGTGTGCCTGAGTGCCAGCTGTGTCAGATCGTTTTTCATACACTTCAATTAAGGTTCGTTGACTGTGGAAATGTTTTTCCTAGTTTTAATGACTCAACTTACTTGCATATATATCTCGAACGCCCTCGAAGAAACGTGGCACATATTTTTCCAGCACAGAGAGCGTTGTGTTGAGATCTTCGAGCACACCAACAACAGCATATTGCTGTTCCACAGCAAATTTGGCCTTCTCCAAGGCACCCACCGTATTGAAGGGACTGAAATGCATAGAATTTTGAATTAATTTGAAATTTCTAAGGGATATCTCTAAAAAACAGCAAGCACTCACGTGCACTCGTAGTCATGACCGCAGAAGAACAAACTCTGGCGACGATGATCGCCAATGCCCTCGACCGTGACACCTTGGGTATAGGTGCACTCCTGATCTCCGCTCGTGACACACGTCTCGAAGTCCTTCTTCAGCCATGCTGGGTGTGGCAGCGGTAGATCGGGAAAGGCTGCCTTACGCTCCACAAAGTACCAGGGCGCCCTGACATAGTAGAACCAACTGATGACACGCTCCACAGGATCGCGCACCACATTCAGATAGATCGGCTTGGGCAGATTGAACTTGGTGAAGTTGGTGAAGCACACGTGCTTGATGAAGACCGAGGGCTCGGGCAGCTCACTGATCACCTCGGCCATCTCCTGCTGCTGATCCTCGGCCAGGCGTATGGTCTCCACTTTTTGTACCGCATCGCGATGGAATTGAAAGTTGTTGCGCTCGGAGAGGCGTCGAAGTAGCTCCATAAATGTCTGACTGCCAACCTTTGGCACTCGATTGAAGAATACCAATTCCATTTGGGCCTTTCGAGTGTTGTTCAGATCCCGCACATTGAGTGAAGACATCTGGTGAGGGAATTATAATTGATTTAATTAGGAAAACAAATTTAAATCTCACATTCTTGTCATCTCATTTTTCGTGTCTTTATTTACCTGCAGATCCTTGGTGTTTGATATGCATTTAGGGGGCTATTAAGGGGGCTTAGACTCTAAAGCTAAGGGATAATAAAACACAGAAATAGTTCTGGGGACCAACTAGATTTATTTGGTCAATTCTTTGGCTATGATTCGGTCAAAGTGTTATGTCTTTCAGTGAAGATTATCTTCGAGTTGCAGGGCCAAATATTGTTTGTACAGCCGCTGTTTGCAGAAGTAATAGAACTCGTACTCGTTGGTAAAGTTCCGTCTTACCATTTCCCTAACGTCTGGATCTACGCGGGGCTTGCGATTGTTTCGATTCCGATTTCGTATGCTATTACTGTGCACTGAAAGGGGATACAATTCCATTTAAAAGATTTCCCTTTGGAATGGTTTGCTTGAACACTTTCGAACCACCTGGGACTACCTACATTTGTACAGAAAGCGAGCATGATTGAAGAACCTAGGGACATACTTCTCCAGCACGGTCAGGGTAATGTTTTTCTCCTCCCAAGTGCCCACCACAGAGTACTCCTTCTCCACGCGAATTTTAGCCTCTTGCACGGCATGGGGCGAGTTGAAGGGTCTACAGATGGGACAGAAACATGGACAGACTTCAGTTGATCATTCCCCTACACCTCCTACTACTCACAAACAATCCAGATGATTGCCGCAAAAGAAGAGGGACTGCCGCTTAAAATCCTGCACATGATCCGCGACCGAGTGCTGGACAAACCGACACTCGGGACTGCCGTTTCGTACGCACTGATTGAAGCTCTGCAGATACCATTCAGCGGGTCTCTCCGGATGTCCTGGAAACATGCGCCGTCGGATCTGACGCTTGACCCTCGACCGGCGCTTGTAATAGTCGTGCACCATACGATCTATGGGATCCCGCACCATCGATATGTAGATGGGCTTTTTGTAGCCAAACGAACTAAAGTCCAGCCAATTCGAGTGAGCCATGTAGAGCGTTCCCCGCTCCAGGTCGCTTGTCCAAACAATTTCTGTCTTCTGTTGCCGCTCGGTGCGGGTTCGATTCATCGTTCTCACTGGTCCATTCAGCACCACATTCATGTCATTCATGCTGGACAGCTGTCGTATCAGCGGCATCATTTGCTCTGTGCACACTCGCGTGGGGCGATTGAACACGATCACCTCAAAGCCGGCAAATCGTGTATTGTTCAGATACATTTGCCTCACACGTCGCAGCTGGGAAGGTTGTTTGGGGGTCAGTACTCGGCTCCAAATTAAAGACAGACACAAGCACAAGGATTTATGGGCTGGATGAGACACAGAGTTTGTTCTTGTTGTTGTGTAGACTAAACTAAGGTAGTCGTCCCCCAGGAGGTTCCTCGCCCAAAAGTGTTCAAGCAAAAACGCAAACCTACAGTCAAAGACATGTCTGGCGCCCCTGAAGAATCTTGGGATGTATGCCTCGAGCACGGCCAGTGTTATGTTCGTGTCCTCCCAGCTGCCCACCACTGCATAATCCCGTTCCACATTCCTCTTGGCCAGCTGAATGGCGTGTGGGGAGTCAAAGGGCCTGGGAAACAACTGTCAGCAGAGTCTTTAAGCAAAGTGAATTGACTTACAGACACTCGCGATTGTGGCCGCAGTAGAACAGAGATTGTCGCTTATAATTCCCATCCGTATCCTTAACACTCCCAGGCACATATTGACACTCGGGATCACCGCTGCGAACGCACTCGTTGTAGCTCTTCTTGAACCACTTTTCCGACTTCATGGTCGTGTTGGGAAAGCGTCTGTGGACAATGGCATTGCGGTAGCCGCTGCGTACGTAGTAGAACCAGCTGATCATTCGCTCCACGGGATCACGCACCAGATTAATGTAGATGGGCTCTGGCAGTTCGTATCTGCGAAAGTCCAGCCAATTGCAGTGTTCAATGTAGATGGTTCCAGGCTCTAGATCTGCCACCCAAACTGCCTGAATCACTCGTTCTCTGGGCGCACGGGTGCGGGAATTAATATTCAATGGTCCTTTGGTCACTACGGTCATATTGTTGAGCGGTGCCATTGTCTGGGTGAGCTGCATGAGGGCCTCACTGCCCACCTTGGCGCCGCGATTGAAGAAGACCACCTCGAGTCCTGCGTGCCGCGTGTTGTTTAGCCTTTTGCTGCTGAGCGATGCCAGCTGGAGGGATGCCAAGGGATTACTATCTACTATCCAAGGGCTTCTCTACAACGGTTAGTTACAGGGTGTGGATATTGGATACTTTATTAACCAAGAAAAACTACTGACAAAACTAACAACAACTAAAAGGAAAAGGAAATTCAGTCAAAAGATAATGAGAACTTAGGGATACAAATTCAGTCGCTCCAACTCTGTGCGCTTCAGGGCTATGTACTGCATATAGAGACGCTGCTTGCAGAAGTAGTAAAAATCATATTCATGGGTAAAGTTTCGCCTGACCATGGCCCTAACATCCGCATCCACATGGGGCTTGCGATTGTTCCGATTGCGATTCATTAAACTCTCCTGATAGACTGCAAACGAAAATGGATCAAATGGATCACCCTCCTTGTCTGTAATATCTGGTGATGGTCTTACTCTTATAGATCATTGAGGCACGTGCAAAATAGCGTGGTATATAGTGTTCCAGCACGGCTAGCGTGATATTTGTCTCCTCCCAAGTGCCCACCACAGCGAATTCAGTTTCGACTCGACGCTTGGCCATCTGCACGGCCAGCGGTGAGTTAAAGGGCCTGCAAAAAGGGTCAAGGTCAAGTGTTGAGCTACCGCACTAGAGGCTGGAGTCTCTCTCTGCTGAACTCACAGACAATCCTGCTCGTTGCCGCAAAAGAAAATCGATTGTCGCTTAAAGTTGGGCACCGCATCGGTCACCGTCAGCGGAATGTACTGGCACTCCTTGTCGCCACTGCGCACGCAATCGTTGAAGCTCTTCTTGAACCAGGCTGTGGGCTGGATGGGCGCCAGTGGATTCTTCCTGTAGAACAAGGCATTCCGATAGGAGTTGCGGATGTAGTAGTACCAGCTGATCATCCGCTCCACTGGATCGCGCACCAAATTGATGAAGATGGGCTTGGGCAGGTTGAATTCATTAAAGTCGATCCAGTTTGTGTGCTGAATGTAGACGGAGCCCTCGTCCATGTTGTAGATGTAGGCTGCCAACTCCTCCTGCCCGCGGGCATTCAGGGAACGTCTCGTCTGTCTATCCACTCCATTGACATTGATTTTGAAGTTGTTGATGTCCTGCAGATGTTCCATGAACTCCATGAGCGACTCGCTGCCCACTTTGGCACAGCGCGGAAAGAACAGACGATCCATTTCGGCCTTGGCCGTGTTGTTGAGTCGACGCGGCGTGAGGCCATCTAACTGAAGGGTGGGAGGGGATAGGGTTTAGGGTTTAGAAGCGGTTCGTTGTGGCAAACCAAAAGGATGAGACACACAAAATGGAATTACAGAGTACACAGTGTGTTTGGCGGGGTCTATTCTAATGTATCTACTGTTTATTTAAGTGGAAATTTGTTCGAAAATGTACGTATTATATCACACCAGCTAATGTCTAGCCTAGCCTCCTGTCCGACCACTAATTCAGCATTCCGCGACTCTCCAGCTCGTTCAGATTGAGGGCCAAATACTGCTTGTACAGACGCTGCTTGCAGAAGTAATAGAACTCGTATTCGTTGGTGAAATTCTTGCGAATCATGGCCTTCACCTCGGGCTCTATGAACGGCTTGCGTTTGTTCTTGTTCCGATTGACGATCCTGTTATTGTTCACTGCACAGTAAGGGATTCAATAAGGTATTTTTCTATACTTTGCTTTTGGGTTACACCTACTCTCATACATCAGCTTGGCGCCACGAAAGAAACGCGGTATATAGCGCTCAAAGACGGTCAGCGTTATGTTTGTGTCCTCCCAGCTACCCACGACAGCATAGTCCCGTTCCACATGCTCCTTGGCCATTTGTAGGGCCGTTGCCGAATTAAAGGGACTAAAAGATGGGCGAGTATGAGCGCCATTAGCTCTGTAACTCCCTGCTGTGAGTTTTTGTTCCCGTTTTCTACTTACATACAATCATCGTGATGACCGCAATAAAACAGAGTTTGCCTTTTAAAATTGGGCACAGCATCCTTGACCGTATGGGGCACGTACTGGCATTCCGGATCACCGCTCTTCACGCACTCATTAAAGTTCTTCTTGTACCAGGACTCCTTCTTGATCTTCAAATTGGGCTTCTTGCGGTACTCGATGGCATTCTTGTAGGAACTCCTGGCATAAAAGTACCAACTGATCACCCGCTCCACGGGATCTCGCACCATGTTGATGTAGATCGGTTTGGGCTGATCAAACTCCTCAAAGTCCAACCAATTAATGTGCTCTATGTACATGGTGCCCTCTTCCAGATCAGCGACAAATTCCGCCATTTCCCGCTGATCATCTTTTCCCAACTGACGCGAAGTGGGCTTCGAGAGACCCGATCTGTCGAGGGTTAAGTCTTCGTTGTAGTTTTCAAGAGCCTGCAGTAGCTCCAGCAATGCCTCGCTGCCAACTTTGGCGGCACGATTGAAGAACAGCACATCGATATCGGCATTTCGTGTATTATTCAGACGCGTAGCGCTCAGATGTTTGAGCTATATGATGGCAGGGGATTCGAGAGATCAGTGGATCTGTTTGGATTTGTTTCGTTGTAAGCTCTTAGGTTCTAGTGAGAGAGAGATAGATTTGCCCCTCTGTAGTTTGGGTTATTAAGCGATAGTGGGAACCCTCACAGCGGAATAAATAAAAGCTTTGCCCCTAAGCCTAATCGTAATAGAAATAAGCGCCTCAATTACTACTCCTCTGTTTTATTTCGTTCTCTTTTAACCTAAATATGAGTCTAATTTTTAATGGCCATTTCGTTGGCCGCTTCCAAACGAGCCAGAGACTTGTCCATGCGCTTGAGATCGTTCAGTTTCAAGGCTAGATACTGCTTGTGCAGGCGCTGGCGACAGAATTGATAGAATTCGATTTCACGCGTGAAATTCCGACGCACCATATCGAGTATGTCCTGCGATATGTGAGGCTTCATTGGGTTATCGTTCTGCTTCTCCGCATGCAGACCCGCTGTAAGCAATCAATCACAGTCTCAATCAGAAGTTAACCCAAGGGTTTCCCAACCGACTTACAGTAGTACATTTTGGTAGCATCTGCAAAATAGCGGGGCACGTAGGCCTCCAGCACAGCCAGAGTCTCGTTTGTGTGCTCCCAGGTGCCCACCACAGCGTACTCCCGCTCCACATTCAATTTGGCCAATTGCAGGGCCAGGCGAGAGTTGAAAGGTCTAAGGGGGGAAACGGTGACTGAGCGAAGAAGGGAGAGAGAAGCATCAGGGACACTCACGTGCACTTGAACTCGTCGTGGCCGCAGAAAAACAAAGTCTGCCTGCGATGATCGCCCACATGCTCGAGTAGCGAACCCTCGATGTAGGTGCAGACCTTCTCGCCACTCAACACACACTGATCGTACTCGGTGTTGACCCACTTGGGGTTGGGCATTTCCCGATTGGTGCGCCTGCGACCAGGCACAAAGATCCATGGGGCGCGTATGTAGTAATACCAACTGATCACCCGCTCCACGGGATCACGCACCATATTGATGTAGATCGGGCGGGGCTGTTCGTTCTTGGTGAAGTTCAGAAAGTTGACGTGGCTGGCGAAGACAGTGCCATCCTCCAGATTGACTATATTCTCAATCATATCGCTCTGCTCGGGCAGCTCTAGCAGTGGCAGGACTCCGCCAACCTGGGGATCCTTTTCGACCTCATAGTCATGGACTTTGCCCAGCTGACGCATCAGCTCGATCAGCTGCATGCTGCCCGTTTTGGGCACGCGATTGAAGAACACCACATCAATGTCGGCCTTGGGGGTATTGTTCAGATCTTGGGCATTCAACTGAAGGATCTGCAAAGGGGATACCTTTGAGTAAGTGGGAGGGAATGTTGGGGAGGTCGCACATGTGATGGGTGGGTTGAAGCTAACCAAAATGCCCAGCAAAAAAAGGATTAGTAGCGAAAAAAGACAGAGAGAGAGAAAGACACGCGGGTGGAAAGTTGTGTGTAAAAAGTCTATTGGTGCTCGTAGATCATAGAAGTTCATTCTTAGTTGACTATATATGTATATCCGAGAATCGTGGCTTATTGATGGCTATATACTGCATGTACAATCGCTGCATGACGAACTGGTACAGCTCGAGCTCAAATTTAAAGCTGTCCTTCAGATACCGCTCCACATCCTCATCCAAACTGTTGTTGTGCGGCGTCGTGTTTCTTGTAAATGTTTCGGTTTGCGCTAGTGAAGAATATGTGTACATCAGAGACTCAGTCAACAAAACAATTGGCAGTGGAATAACCTACAGTAATAGACCTTTGCGGCACCTGCAAAGAAACGCGGTATGTAGGCCTCGAGCACGGCCAGTGTGACATTCGTTTGCTCCCAGGTGCCCACCACAGAGTATTCCTGCTCCACATTCCTCTTGGCCATTTGCATTGTTGCCTCGGAGTTTAACTGCCTGAATAACGATTGCAAATGCTTGAAACTAAAACAGCAGCAAGGGAAGAATCGCTGTGGGGAAAACCTACTTGCAGATTGCTGCATTGCCGCACAAATGCAAATTGAATCTTCGCCAGTCGCCGTTGAAGGGATTGTGCGCATCGAACACACAGTGCGGAGCTATACGCTGCTTCACGCACTCGTTGAATGTCAGGTCGTAGTAGGTTTTATCCTGAATTTTCTTATCGGGGTTGCGCCGCGCGTACTGCGCCGCGATCTTCGGGTGTCGCATGTAGTAGTAGGCGCTGATCACCTTCTCTATGGGATGGCGCACCAAGTTCATGTAGATGGGCCGCGGCATGTCATGTGCCGTGAAGTTCACCCAATTCGTGTGCTCCACATAGGCCGATGGTTCGGAGAGTTCCATTAGCTGATGCACGAATTCCCTTTCCTCCACAAAGCTGTCTAGAATAGACCTTTTGGGCTGTATCACATTGCGGAATGTCTCAAAGCCGTTCTGATTGCCCAGCTCTTTGATTAGGTGGGTCATCGACTGGCTGCCCGTCTTTTCAATGCGATTAAAGAGCACAAATTCCCGTTCGGCCTTGGGTGTATTATTCAGTCGTGCCGCATCCAGTTCTTCCAGCTTTAAAACGTAAGAAAAACGCAGAAAAATCACAGCAAAAAACAACAAGCCAGACAATTACAGATGCTTTTTTGGGATGAGTAAAGTTAGTGGAACTGAAAAGACAGCTGTCCGAACTACGTATTTGTATCCTACTGAATAATGAATCAAATTTCTTGTGATAATCACAATTCCAAGTGTCTATTTATTGAGAAATATTGCCGATACAAGCGCTGCTTGCAAAAGTAATAGAAATCGTACTCCTGTGTGAAATTTGCACGCATTATTCGCTTGATCCTTTCGCTGATCTTGGGCTTCCAGTGGTTCGTATTGCGCTTCCTAAAGGCCAGACCTTTAACGGGTTCTGCAGAAACAATTTGTGAGACAAGCTGCAGGGTATCTTCAAGTAAGTTTTTACCGTAATACAGCTCGGTGCTGCCCCGAAAGAAACGTGGTATAAAATGCTCGAGCACGGCCAGGGTCACATTCACATCCTCCCAGGAGCCAACTACCGAAAAGTCGCGCTCCACATTCTGCTTGGCCCGTGCCACAGCCGCGGGCGTATTGAAGGGTCTGTGCGTGGCAAGGGAAAATCATCTTAGGAATAAAAGATATCGGGACTACCTACTCGCATAGGGGTGCATGGCCACAGAAGAACAAACTCTGTCGCTTATGATCAGCGGAATCCTCTTTGAAGTTCAGCCCATAATCATAGCGACACTCAAAATCATGTGTCAGCACACAATCCTCAAAGTTTTTCTGATAGTGAGTGCGATTTTCGAATTTTCCAGTAATTTTAAACATTTGCAGGGAGTTCCAGGGCGTACGCTTGTAGTAGTACCAGCTAATAACCCGCTCCACGGGATCTCGAATCTGCACAAATTAGGGAATGATTTTTGAGAGGAAAAACAGAGCTAACAACTGCAGGATTTTCTGCTGCTTCTCCTACCAAATTGATGTAGATCGGTTGTGGTAATTGAAACTGTCGAAAGTTCATATAATTGGCATGCTCGGCATAGGCAAAAGCATCCTCCTCCATCAGATCCAGTATGCGATGGGCCTCCAGTTTTTGTTTCTCAAACGACCAGTAGATTCCCGTGGGCTTGGAGAAGGGCGAGCGAGCGTTCTGGAAGCGATTTCGCTCGCCCAAGCGAAGCATCAGCTCAATGAGCGTCTCACTGCCCGTTTTGGGCACTCGATTGAAGAAGAGTATATCCCGGGTATGGTATTTGGTGTTGTTCAGGAACTTGGGATTCAAACGCCACAGCTGCAAAATGGTCAGGGGAATAGAGTCGATTCGAACCACAAGAGGAACCCAACAGATAAATGGAGCTACAGACACACAGAGAGAGAGAGAGACACACAAAGCTGTATATTCACACAGAAAGCAATCAAAAATTGTTGTATTATTGTGTATTATATAGTCCTGAGAATTTTAATTATACTATCATGGAATCATGGCTTAGACTTAGCTCTAATCGAATTCTACTCTTGTTCTGTTCTGTTCTGTTCTAATACTCCTCGTTGTAGTCGTTGCGCTGCTCGGGCACCAGCAGATAGTCGTCCTCCCCGAAGCCCTTGCCGTGACTCAATGCGGCATATTGCAGATACAAACGCTGTTTGCAGAACTCATAGAACTCAATCTCGTTGGTCAGATTCTTCCGCAGGATCATGCGCGTTTCGTCACTCACGATCCGTGTGACATTATTCCGATTAACGCGTGACAGACGATCTTTGCCCACTAGAAATTAATGCGAGTTCAGTGAAGTAGCCTCAGAGGTCAAAGTTCGGTTTGTTCTTACGATAGTAGGCCACCTTGGCATTACGGAAATATCGTGGTATGTAGGCCTCCAGCACGGATAGCGTGATATTTGTGTCCTCCCAGGTGCCAACGACGGCATACTCCGACTCCACAGTACGCTTGGCCTTCTGCATGGCCACCGCCGAATTGAAGGGCCTAACAGGAATTCAGTTTTGGGTATGATATCTAAGGGAAACTATTGCCCTACTTACATGCACAACTTCTGATTCATGCCGCAGAAGAACAAGGTCTGACGACGGTGATCACCCGCCTCGTTCTTCACCTGCATTTGAGTGAAGGTACAGTGGGGATCGTGATTGCGGACACATGTGTCCAGGTCCATGTCTAGAAACTCGTCCGCTGGCATGGCCGGTGCCTTGTCACCCAGCTTGGCCTGCATGTCGCGATAGTACCACCGGGCACGGATGTAGTAGTGCCAGCTGATGATGCGGTCAATGGGATCGCGCACAAGATTAATGTAGATCGGACGCGGCAGATGGAATCTGGTAAAGTTGATGTACGCTATGTGCTGGCTGTAAATGTGCGGCTTGGGGCGTGTTAGTAGATCCGAAAGCAAATCGTTTTGATGCTGTTTGTTCATCAGGACAGTCTCGTGGGCACTGCCCTTGTTGCGGGCATGATTGAACCCATTGATCTTGCCTAGGCGTGCCATCAGCTCCATCAGCGATTGGCTGCCCACCTTGGGTACGCGATTGAAGAACACAAAATCAACTTCAGCGTATTTGGTATTGTTTAGTAGATCGGCTTGCAAATTGAAGCCATCAATGCCATCAATGCCATCGAGCTTTTCATCATCGGCCTCCTCCTCATCATCATCATCATCATTCTCGTCGTCGCCATAGTGCGCCTCATCTTGTTGCAGAGGCTTATCCTCGGGCAGGGCCAACTGTTTGTCATGTGCGGCCTTGTGCAGATGCGCCTGATGAGGCGCCCGATGCTGGTGCTGATTCGAGTGATGATCGTGATGGTGTCCGTGGGAAGGTTCCTCCTCGCTGCTACGGCGATCGTGCACATTGTATCCACGTAGCTACATGCAAACAACAACTTGTCAATCGACAAACCCAATCGAGAGTGTACCAAGCTAAGGACGTGGTTAGGGAAATACCGAAAGATCAAGCAGTACGAAAATTAACACAGTTTTATTACACTTGAAAAAATAAACACCTAATTTAAGTGGCCTCCCTGAGCTTTGGATCTTCATCCAGCTTCAACGCGATATACTGCTTATACAGACGATGCCTGATGAACTGATACAACTCAATCTCCCTAGTCATGTTGCGTGCGAGCAGCGCCCTCGCCTTGTCGCTGAGTGTGGGCCTGAAATTGTTGCGATTCACATTGCCCAGCCGGCTGCGCAGGGCATAGTACTCATCCTTGGCGCCGGCAAAGTACTTTGGTATGTAGGCCTCCAGCACAGTCAGCGTGATGTTTGTGTCCTCCCATGTGCCCACAACAGCATAGTGCTCCTCCACATTCCGTTTGGCCCGCTGCATCGACTCGTGCGAGTTGAAGGGCCTGCGAGAAGGTTTTTTGAGGGATTGTACTTTGGGTTGTACTTTTGAATGGGGATTGGGTTGCCCAACGACTACCATCGCTAACTCTTTCAACTGCTACTCACATGCACACGGAGGCGGTGTGACCACAAAAGTACAACGATTGCCGCCGATGATCGCCCAGATTGCCCATTTCCATTTGCTCGTACACACATTCCGGATCGTGTTCTTCGATGCATTCATTAAAGTCCTTTTGCACCCACTCCACGCTGGGCAGCACCACTTTGTCGCCGAAAGTCTCCCGCCGTTCGGCCAGATACCAGGGGGCGCGCGTATAGTAGAACCAGCTGACCAAACGCTCGATGGGATCGCGCACCATGTTGATGTAGATGGGCCAGGGCTCGTCCAAGAGATCAAAGTCGATGAAGGCCACATGCTTGGTGTATGTGTTGGGTCCCGTGCTGTTCAGCACTTCGCTGTGTAGGAAGTTCTTGGCATATTGGGGATCCATGAGCACCACTTCGTAGAGGCCCTTGATATCGCGGCGGGCCTCGAAGCCATTCCGCTTGGCCAGGATCTTGAGCAGCTCCATCATCTTTTCGCTGCCAGTCTTTGTCACTCGATTGAAGAATATCGTGTCCAGCTGGGCTCGCGGTGTGTTGTTTAGTTGTGCGGCATTCAGGTGTGTTAGCTGCCGGATTGCAAAAGTTTTTTTTTTTTTGGGGGAGTCGTTGCTTGTTGGTGTAGGATAATTTCTTGGGACACACAAAGCTACACGAACATGAACGAGTCAACACAAGTAGGACAACATATACATATATATATAAACAGACTTTAAGCGGTTTTTTTTTGTGGGATGCAACAGGGAGACGCGGCACCTGGGGGTTAAATAGTTTTACGGGTTTCGCATTGAGGATTTCGCAAAAAGTCGCGCACACAGCTGGACCTATGTGGGTATTAATAATAATCCTCCCCACAGCTCTTACTTACCTTTTTGGACATTTACTCATTTAATTTAATCTTTATAAATCGAATTTCTATCGCTTCTATGTCGCAACTAACTAACCACGCAAAAAAAACTCTACAAAAAATATTTTCAAACTGCGCTGACAAAATTCCAAGACAGAGTCGAAGTGTAATTTTCGTTTTTGTTAGTGTTAGCAGATAGAGAACTGCATTTAGGATAGAGGTAGCTATAGGTATAGCCAGAGCTATAGATAGTTTGTAGTTTGTAGATGTAGGGATAGCTAATAGACGACTGACTACCAGAGCTAGACTGATTGCATAATTACTAGTGTGTGGGTGTTGTTTGTGTTGTATGTTGTGTGGGGTGTGTGTGTGCTAGGTAGGAGAATGCTACGGCGATTGAATGATCCAAAAATGATGCCGAGACATAGAGAGAGGCAGCGCCGTAGAGAGAGAGAGAGCAACAGCGATGATGATCGAATGAGACAGAGAGCATGGAAGAGCGCATATTCCATGGGACAGGCAGGCAATTTATGCAATATCAAACACCAAGGAGCTGAAGCACCTTTCCGCTTTTAATGGAGTTTCATCGATGATTTATATTTGTAGCTAATGCCAAACAATAATGTATGCTTGTTTGCAATGTTTACGACATGATGGGCAGGCAATATGCGAGATATATCAGGATGCAAATATTTATGGAATTAGCTTACCTGGCCAGTGCTTTTCAGATATTGATAGGTGCCATGCAGCGTATTGATATCATCGTGTTCTGAAAGGTTGTGGAAGATATTAGATTACTAGATAATTTAAGTAAAATAAACTCTCCATAAATTCCAAAAATAACGTAGAAAAAAGATAAATATTTCCCCTGAAACATAACTCTATTCCGCGCACGTTTTAAAGATGTAAACACAGTCAATCCTGACACAACTTACATACATTTCCAGCACACCTGCCATGACCTTAGAAACGGACTCCCAAAACATCAAAAAAGGAAGTAATCGGAATACTTTTACTTTCGACTTGTGCCCAAAAGGTGTTTATGCAATATTCGGCATGGGAAGCCATTGTCAGCTTTGATAAATAAATGACGATGAGTGCAGTAAATATGCACGCTCATGGCGACTCCTTTCACTTTGCCGAATCACTTAGGATGCGATAGGGATCATCCTCAGACTTCGAAAGGTTTACCCACTCCCTGTAGCTGCTCTTTCCACCCATCCTTAACGGACCAACGCAAAACGCATGCAAATGGCAACAAGTTTTGCGTGTCCATTTGTTGGCGGTGTCGTGAGGGCAATTAAAATGTTGATGTCTAGGCATTTGTCCTGTTTTGCACAGACGTGGCCACTGCACACACAATACAATTTAGCAGCAAATGGTAAATGACTGCAATCGAATATTTGGACAGGCTTAAGCACAGAGAGACAAGGAGACAAAGAGAGAGAGGCTGATGCGGAAAACATCTTGATGTTCAAGTGTAGTGTGGGTCGATCGCACCACTTTGGCTTTTTTGTTTTGTTTACGCTAAAGTATTTCATAATTCCTGCCCGAACTGAACGAGGAAGTGTGTGTATCCATCCATCCATCCCAGTCCCCAGACCCATATCCAGTCCGTGTCCACTCCAATTGCCTGCAAACCAGATTCGTTGTGTTGTATTTGGTCAATTGGGCAGTTTCTCCGAAAAATGTGAATGAAAGTGGTGGCCCAACTGGTTTGTTGGTCCGTGTCTGTCTGTCTGTCTCTCTCTCTGCTTAGCCACCGACAACAAAGTCAGTGAACCAAAAGTGAAACACATTTTGCGGTTGAAACCTTAAAATAGAAGTCTGCTCTCCTTTTATATTTCATTTACGTACATTTTTGTTATTTGGCTTTGTTTGTGCGGTCTGGAAAATTGGGTCACATCTCATGCAGTTCTTACACTTTGGCTGTGATCTGGTTAGTGCGTTATTTTTATATTCTGCTGTTCTAAAGCGACCTTCAGTCGAAGCTTAGCTCCGGTTATTGGCCACTTCAGGTGCTGGCTGAAGGTGAACAACGTAACATGTGGTTCAGGCTTATACATTTCTTACACACACAACATGTGATGCATGGGAACCTGTGGAATCATTCTGAGGTGAGGCCAAAGTTGGCCAGAGTTGCTTCTAAGCACCAGGGAATGCGTTGTGAGGGGATATAAAGCGAAAGAGTGTTGGTGCTCAGTAATGTAGCTTGAATAGCAATTATGGATACAAATTTTCCAACTCCGTTTATCATCTGACTATCTGTTACTCTAGTCTACCATTTTATGGTTGTTTTTGTTCTATTTCTACATGTTATTCTGTTTTTCTATGCCTCAACTCTTTCACTTCAATAACCATTTATGTTTCAAGGACCTTCTGTCTGTCTTGCTGTCCATTTTCTGATCAGTTTCTTTCCGGCTAATTTTACCAACTAATTTCTAGCCTTATTCCGCCCAAGAGCTCACTCATTAGTCTAATTTTAGGTTTCATTTTTCTCTTTCGCGATCTCAAGACCTAGCCGTACCCCTTGGTTACGCCCCTGCCACGGCAAATTGCCTGCTTGCAGTTTTTCCGCTAAATTGGACCTCAACTCTGGACACTTTGGGTTTGGCTGTGTAGTTGGGTGTTCGTATTGCTATTGGTCTATTGCCGGGGTCTCTGTCTAATTGAAAATAAAGTTGCTCTCTGCGGCAGCAGTAAGAACTGGTTTGCTATGCATTTTTGCCAGGGGCAAAGTTGGCATTGCTACACTTTAGCTTTTTTTTTTTGCTCTTCTCTTCGCTTGTGCTAGTTAAAGGTGTAGACAATTGTTGGGTTGACTGCTTTTTTTTCCATCGGAGACAATGATTCGAGGCAGGTAGAGGACTGATGGGTTTTATTGGGTTTGCTCTTTTGTGTCAGGGATGGATTGTTTTTTAGGCGATTGTTTGAGGGTGTAAACGTTCAAAGTTGACATTGATTTGTGGATGAACTATAGCTCTGTACATCAATCACACTTGCAGTTATTGGGAGGAATTTTTGGGTGATTTTTAGTTGAAGAATACTCAGTCGATTGAAACAATTACAAATTAATTTCATTCTTCTGAATATTTCCTATTCATATTATTGATTTTCCCACCGAAACGTTCTTCATCTCTTTAATGAACTCTCTCCTAACAGTCCCAACAATCCATTAAAGAATCTTCAACGTGAGTCATGTTTCCGTCATGTTTCCACATGGCCATTAGACCACGACATAAACCGCAGCCCCCAGTCCAAAAACTCCACTTGGCTGCAATGTTCAGTGCTGTTAATTAGCCCAAGTCAAGTTCAATGTTGGCACACAAAACGCAGCTAAAGAAAAGCTAAAAGCCGGCTAACGGTGTCATCATCATGATGATGGCCAAAACGAGCTTGTTGAGCTGAGTGTACGTCTGTTCGTCTTTATCTTTATCTCGTACTCGACCCCCGCGAGTCGTGTGAGTCAATTAAATGAAATATTTATGAATGAATGAATACGTATGGCTGAAGGTAAACCGTTTGTGCATTTTACAGATACTTTTTTTTTCGTTGTTGTCTTTTCTTTTTTGCTGCAAAACCTCCATCAACGTCACACACATTTGCTTTGTTTTCTTTTTATTTTTTATAAATTTTTTCCATTTTTTATTGTTTTTTTGTTGTTGTTTTGTTTGTTTGGCCATTAGCCGGATTTTGCCTTGGAGGGGGCCTAAACAGGGACAATTTGTAACTGTCTTTGGCGTACAAGAGACAGTGCAGTTGACGCGTGCGCAGACGCAGCGCCAGCAGCCACAATGGAGATGGCAGCAGCTGAGCAGCTGGCGGCAGCCCACAAGTGCACTACGGTCTGTCTCTGTCCCATCTGGCTCGACTTCATCATCATCTTTTACTGTGGAAGTCTTCGTGTGTGCCTTTTGTTCCACTGCACTTCCAGCTGGCTGTTGTTGGCAATCACCGCAGCAAGGCGTGAAGTTTTCAGTTCCCCAGTCTTCCTCCGCCCAGGCATCACCTTGCCACAGACTTCCCCTAGAGATCACCTTGTTGCTTTCGTCAGTGGCTCAGCAGCTGCTGCTGTTGCTGTTGGGGCAACAGCTTTTGTCTAATTTGCAAGTTGAATTGCACGGCCTAAGCGAGCCTCAAAACTTCCGGCATGGAAATTAGGTTTTTCTTTTCGTTTTTTTTTTTGCATTTTCCCGAAAGTTTTGATTTGCTTTCGGTTGTCCTCGGCAGCTGTACGTAGTAGTAGAATTAGTAGTTGCCTAATGATGGAGTTATTAGTCCAATTACGGCCTGCGACTGACGATGATCATTAGCCTCTCGCTCAGGCCTCAAGTGGCAGAATCTCAAGTGACGCTCTAAAAAATCTTCGTTTTTGGTTGAGGAGCCAGCCATTATGCTCACTTTTAAATGCGTTTTCATTGTGGTTTGGCTTTTGTTTGGCTTTAGAGAATGCTCGACAAACATTTTAGAGAGGGAGAAGAGTGTCAAGAGATTGCTTTTGAGGTCTCTGGTAATGCGATCCTAACGAGAGTACTCGAAAGCGCTGGCTGGAGTGGTTGGTCTGTATACACTGATCTACAGATAAATGAGAAAGGATTTTTGCCAGATTTTCTCTTGGTAAATATATTCACAGAGGAACCACACAAAAGCCTATGCCACACGAAATTAATCCACAAATTTCCCTCTTGTGTTGTTTGCTAATTGAATTAATAATATTATAATCAATATGCTGCTGCATTATTCATTACGGCCACAAAACAAAACTCCGCTTAGCGCAATGTCAAAAGGTTAAATTCGCTACACAAAAAAATAAAGAGGGCGAAAGGCTGCCCCTGGGGGGCTGTGAACAGCACACCTGTGTGTGCCAAAATAATTTATTAATGCACTAAAATATGCACAAATAAAAAAGTAAAGGTATCATCTACGTAAACACATGCATATTGTAATTAAAAAGCATGCACCACCACCAACTGCGATTATCTATGGCTATGCATATCGACAAAATGTATGCGCATTGTGTTGATATTAATGTGAGAGTTTATTAGTGCTATTCCACGGCACACAAAATCCGATTATTGCATGAAGGGGATATTACTATTTTGGGGTGTCCTTCCGTAAAATATTCTACAATTTATTCATGCATAAAGCAATGCGCACTAATTTAGCTTAAAACGATCAACTAATTTATGGCCAGAGGCAGAGCTAAAAATATTAACAAAGGTCGCTAGTTGTCTGAGGTCCACGGGTCAATGTGGTAATTAAAAATCAATTGGGCGTTGCCTATGTTCGAAAGCTTTGCCACTTAATGGTGGGTCTGCCTTGTGGGGTATATTAGGCAGCAAGAAGGGGAATGTTTCTTAGCTATTTCACAGTAACTTGTTCCCTAGAACAACTCCTAGTCGAATCGAATTTGTACAGTCCCTCAATGATGTTTCTTTGCCTGTACTTCCTGTACACAATTGATGTCTTATCTGATACGCAACGCGAATGCAATCGAGCGCGAAATTTGGCCCACAATACGGCCTTGGGCTCGTTGTGGGAATGATGGGGAGATGCGTTAGATATGTATCTGTGTATCTGTTGTGTGTGGTACTTACTGCCCGCATCGTGACCGCTGACGTGATTGCCGGTCAGGCCGAGGGCGGAGAACTCGGAGGGCTGCAGCTTCACCTCCATCTCCTTGAGACGGCTGTTCAGCTTGTTGGTGTGCATGAATAGGAAGAAGGTGCACGATATGGCTAGCAGGGCAATCAGCTCCACGGATCTGCAATAGAAGGGCAGAATTTGTTAGTAAACGATTAAATGACAGCCCCCCATCCGAAGGTGGGGAGGCTGTGTCGCAACTGTGTCTGGTATGGTAACAGAGATTCTATTTATAATGGCCATTAAGCGTTTATAATTTACGCCAAATTGGTTTTTAGCAGCTATTATTTCATTTACACTTCGAATTGCTGTCACACACAGAGAGCAACAGGAACAGAATGGGGGGACCAAAACGTTTCTGCCCGTCGGTTAGGAGCAGGGAGAGGGCAAGGGACAGGCGCTGGGCGGCAACGGCAACGGCGACTACAAAGTGTGCGCTGTGACAACATTTAATTAAGTTGTGAAAAGCCAGAAGAAAACAAAAGGAAACAAAGCAAAAATCGGCGAGTGTACACAAGAAATGCATCAGAATAGGGAGAGAGACTGCACAAATTATAAAAGAAATTAACAAAACAATGCGGGATGGGTTCATGGGGAGGTTCCAGCTCCATGGATGCGGTACAGTTCAGGGATTGGGGAATTTTAGCGCTTAATGTTTAGAGAATAAACTCGGAAAATTAGGGGCAGTCTGAGTCGTTTTCTGTATTTTATGTAAATAAATATCCATGATTATCACCATAGAAGATGAGAAAATGACCATCAATAACGTGTTGATTATACAAACATTTCTATGAGAAACTATAATTAAATATTTGTTTAATAATAAATGAGAAATTATTAGTGTCTGTGGAGTGCTTCTATAAATGTTTATCGGAGAAATATCTGTATTCTCTTTAGATTTTATTTATGGAATCTACACAGGAAGTAAAGCTTAAAGTCCCACGCATTTCATATTTTCCATTGACTCAATCCTCTCAGCCCATTCCATTCCATTCTCTGTTCTCTCTGTATATTTGTATATAATTGAATTCCTAGCATTCAGATTTGGCATTACTTGTGGCCTGGAGTCGGTAAGCCATACCACACTCTTGCTCTTACTCGTGCAACAATGACCCACTTGCCTGCCACACGGGAGGGCTTAACCGAGTTGCAACAGACCGGACAACCTTTTGTGGAACCCGCATTTCGCCCTGTCCTGGTCACTATTTCTGAACGAAACATAGATATACATACATATGTATGTATGTTTATATAGGTATAACTTTTTATTTTTTTGTACTTTTTTGGGTTTTTCTATTTTGATATTTGCTCAACGTTGATAACAAAACAAAGCGAAAGAAGCACAAAGAAATAGAAAGAAAACAAAACGATTGAAAAAGAAAAAAGAACCAAATGAAAGAAGGAACAAAAAATGAGAAATAAAACCAAGTAAAAATTGCAATGCAAACTGTTTTCTTTGGCAACTTTTTTAATGCAGCTGTCCGGTGTCCACAGTCCGCGGTCCCCAGTCCCCAGTCCCCTGTCTGTTGTCCGTGGTCCGTTGTCCGCTCTGCAACAGCTCCAACTCGAGCTAGAGCTCCAGCCGGACAGCGGGGAAAAAAATGCAGAAGAAAGAAACAAAATTAAAAGCAACAAAAAACGATGAAAAAATGTGAATAAATATTTTTTTATTGTTCGCTTTTGTTGGCATAAATCTACGGGCCAGATATAAGAGAAGTCTCGGACGGGACGCGCCTTAAAAAACGGTATCAAAATAATAATGACAATAAATGCGGCCATAGAAGGGAACACAAATACGAGTAGGAGAGTGCTCCCCCCAGTCTCTTGGTACAGTTCAGTTAAGCTTGGTTCGGGTCTTGTTTAGTTTGTCATCAGGTGCACAGAGAGTAATTTATTTCAAATGACTGCACTGGCGTCTGAGTTGGAGTTGGAGATGGAGGCAGTCTGTGTCTAAGCAAAATCACAGACCTCGAGCTGGTTTGGCTTTCATGAAATGTATCTCTTGGCCATTTCCAGATACACAGATTGGTTTGCTGAAACAGTCACCAGGGGCTGCCCTGGCCATAAGGCGCTTTCGCTGGTGGACGATGGTCACCTGCTGTGTGGACTTGGCACAACTTCTTAGCTAGAGTTCGGGTGTTTATTTTTCTGTTGTCTTTGTGGGGGAGGCTTCATTTCATTAGCCCACAGTTGACGCCAAAAGTTTGTGGCTTATGTGCATGTGAATGTCTCTAGTTGGCCCTGATGATTCGCATTAATGCGCCCTCTTTTTTTGGGCCATCTTATTGTTAAAGTTGATACTAAAGTGGCCTGCAAATCCCACTTAAGCGCTGTTGCCACCCAAACTTGGGCCTCGTCTTGTGCATTTACAAAACTTTGCTCTACTTTTATTTTGCTTTTGCTTTTCGTTTGCAGAAAGCACGCAATTTATTGACATTTTGTTTGGTTCTCGGTGCTACTCCCATCGGATCGCTGCCAGTCGTGTAAATGCCGAAAGTTATGTGATTATTAAAATAATTTTACGTGACTGCGTCGATTTCTTTTGGACATTTGGCTTGGCTTGGCCCCCACACATGGGCTAGGCGGCTCCTTGGTGGGTTAGCAGGGCGGGGGTCTGTTGGATTTCGTTCCGATTGCAGTTCGTTTGCTGCCACGTAGCACATGTGCAGGCCATTAGGGACCCAGGACCAGGGACCTCGAACCATACTCGGTTCGTTAGCGCTTTTTTTTCTGGCTCTTCTCCTACTAGGCGAATGCGTATCTGTATGCGATACGAGTTCTTTTTCCCTTAGGTAAGTGTGGGTGTGTGTATCTAGAGGTTGGGAGATCGTGGATGTAATGGCTGGTGGATTGCCTCCAACAGGGGCGTAGTTGATGCCCGGCTATATATAATTCTAGCTGTCCGATTTGGCTGCAGCTTTGTCGGAGTGATTGAAATGTGCGTGCCAAAGATCGGGAGGAATCTTAAAGAGAAAGACAGAATATCCTCTCCGTAACTGTACATTTACTACCACGGTTCATGCTCTACCATAATCGCAGCGAGTTCAATGTCCAAGTGCCCCATTTTCTACGCCAAACATGCTACACTAGCCAACAGGCCGCACCTTTCACTTGAGTTCAGAGTTGGATGATAGATATCTGTACCAATGTTGGGGGGAAATGTGATGGCAACGACATAAAACTGCCTGACGTTGCATGCAAATTGCTCGCCATTTCCGCTCAGTGTCATTTGGATGCCCATACGTAGGCACCAACTACCGAACACTGACTACCGACTACCGACTACCGACTGCAAACATAATTTAATTAAACGATGGCAAATTTTCCAGCTAATCAAATAGTAAAACGGCATGCGGCCAACAAAATTGCAGCCAGTTTCGAGGCATTAGAAATGAAGATTGCAAAATGCGCAATCCATAAGCAAAAAACGACAAAACGGAATGTACTTTAGTGATATACAATGAAGCAACTTCAATTCCAGCTACAGCTCCAGCTCCAGCTCCAACTCCAAGTCATACTTCAGGCAGTGAGCAGGCGCAACAAATTGTTCAACACATGAAGATTTCTTTCGCAATCAGTCTTATTTTTGGATGGGGAGAAGCCACACTCCGGTTCCCCCTTCAATTCTGCAATCAATATACACGCATTAGACAGATTTCGAAAGGTGTTTGAACTCGTCATAGATTTGCCCCCCCGGCAGCGGCATTAGAAGTGGATAAACAAGTTGAAAGAACTCGCATGAATCGCAGATAAAAATGGCATGATGGGATCGGCGAGGAACATGAAATTCTGCCCCTGACTTTGTGAAATTATTCTCTTTTCTATCATTAGCATTTTGTTCAGCATCGCTTGGTCTGGCCGGGCCTGGGCTCCATGACATAACCCAAAGTCTTGGACCGGCGTGTCGGCAGATCTTTTTTTATAACTAGTTTCGCCCCGGGTCACACACATACACAATGAGTTGCCTGATTTAATATGCAAAGAAATTGATTTTTTTCTCGCATTGTTGCGGCGTTGCTAAAGTTCAACAAACTTTTAGCCGTAGCCATTTTTTCGTACAGTTTTTTCTGTTGTTTTTAGGGAAGCCTTTCGCTTGGTTCCGTGAGGTTCCGTGGGCACTTCATTAGGCAATTTTCGCTGGTCCGGCTACGGGTGCCCATTCGAAATTGTCAACTAAGGTCAGTTAATGAGGCCTTCCGCAGTGGTTTGGGGTTGTGTAAGGTCGCTTGAAAAGCGTGTGAGAGGTGCAATGAGGTCGACTTGTGGGTTCCGTTAGGCCTAACCGAAATGAAAGGCTACATTTGGGGTCATTTGATGGAGTTTTTCCAGAGATTGTACCTCTGTGCGTGCAAAGAAAAGTGGCAGATGCTGCAAGCGAAATGAATTGACAAGCAGAGACACAGAGAGAGAGAGAGAGAGGAAGTATAAGTACGATAAGTAGAATTAATAATACTTTCAAGACTTTGGTTGCACTGCTAAGGGATTCAATTGCTACAGTAATTGGTTTGAGGTTTAAGCAAAGTGGTGGGAACCAAGCGAAATACCCCCAGAATGCATTTCATCACATATTTAAAGGGCTTGGCCAACAATTCCCCCGAATTCGATGCGGACAATACTCAGCTCGGCTTTCAATTAAACTATTAACTCAAATCTGATAGCAGGCTCCATGGCATGGCGTAGATACCCATCGGCTACGGTCAAAATCTCAACTCAACTTGGCCCAGAGCGAAACTAGGCCAATTGTAATTAAAACGTTCTACGTGCTTCTCTCAAATGTTTTGGGGTTTACTTTGCCTCTGCCCCACTTATGGGCAAGACTCTTACATTCTGGCACAGTGTCTGGAACGAAAGTGCTTACCGGAAACGCTGTGTCAAGTCCCCCCAAGACGAGACCCAAAATGGAAACTATTATTAGAGTTTTTTGTTTCGGCTGATTAGGCCAATTGAGCAATTGAATTTAGTGACAGCACACAAAAGACGAGGCAAAACACACACACAAAAAAGTACACTCGCACATCGGCGGGAGTAATAATAAAGTTATGTTTTGATTAGAAAGTTGTATAATCTCAGCGAACGAACAGTGAACGAGACCCGCGATGCGATTCGAGCCATGTGAATTTT